ACCTTTTTTATTTTTCATTCTGTGGCGGAAACAAGCTTCCATAGCACACAGTCTGCTCTGGTCCAGAGACACATAGCAGAGAGGATCATATGCCCAAGTCTGCGCAGACCACAAGACGTATCGGACCCATTTTAATACTGCACAGAATGCTTTATTAAGCGATTTGGAGGAGAAACAGTTCGGGCATTAGAAACAGCACTGATGAGTGGAAGAGATAACACAGGTGCCATGCATGCACCAACATACATTTCAAAACGGCACATCAACACAAACTACACTTTTCAAACGACAAATCCTCAGCATGATAATGATCACTGTTTTGTTTTAGTGACAGTTTCATATTAAATCTAAAGGGGGAGTCTATTTGACTGTGGCTGTCAAATACGGCTTTACCGAGTTCAACAGCTCTGGCCGAGCTGTGATATAAGCAAAATGTTATTGACTATTTTAAAAAAGGTGAGGAGCTGCTCGATTTGTCCGCCCTGTCTTCCTGTTTCAGTGGAAATTACGTTACCAGATTAAAGGTCCCATGACATGACATTTTCACTTCCTGAGGTTTTTTAACATTAATATGAGTTCCCCTAGCCTGCATATGCAGTGGCTAGAAATTTCAATCGGTGTAAACCGAGCTTTGGCTATCTTTCTCTGCCTTTGAGAAAATGAAAGCTCAGACGGGCTGATCTTGAATCTTCTCCGTATGACGTCATACAGAGGAAAGGTAACCTCCCCTTTCTCTGCTTTGCCCGCCCAGAGAATTTGGCTTGCCCGTGAGAAAATGAGCTAGGAAGTACGAACAGCGAGCGCGATTTGAGTTTTTCCTCGAGAGATATCATGGCTTGCAAACGAGCGAAGCATGGCAGTTGATCAGTGTTCGGATGTACAAATGAACACAAAAGTATTTTTTAGTTCCTTCATCCGAGCCTCTGAAGAAACAATGGGTTAATTTTATTTTCTCTGGAAATGCACCGACACAACTTCCCAAAGTTTTGGTCCAAACATTTAACCGACGAATGTTTCCTCAACTTGGGCCAATAAGTTACAGAGCTGGCCTCGATGAACGTCTGACTCTGAAAATAAATCGATCGAGCTACCAAGCAACAATTTCTGATGTGTAGCCAATTGTTCAAGTTCAGACAGGTAAGTTAATCTTTCTCTCAAAATCGTTCAATACTGTTTATGCATCAATAAGTCAAGCCAGTGACTAAAATATCAACATCACATCGTTTCTTTTAGTAGGATGAAAACAATCTTATTTAAATTGTGATCAAATTATACAGAAAGCGATCAAAGAACAATCTTTCCACACAGCGCGAGTTTTTCTGGACAACTCGTTATGAAATCAATGACGCACGTTACACTGCACAACAAAGCTCTTACTGTATGTACATCATCGTGTTTGCATTGGTGAAAGCATTAGAGAGAGTGCCGAAACTGCGTTGCAATGATAAGATCTTCATTCTTGCGATCAACAGACCGTCATCTGCTTGCTCAATGCTCATCACTGCAACATTTTATGTGATGGGAATAGATCTAAATACTTTAAAAACTTCTCACGATTCGTTAATCTCGATAGCTGTAATAGTCAATACGTATAATAGCTGTAGTAAAAGTATTCGGGAGAGAGTTTCACATGTAATACGTAGCTATTTCATATGCAAGCATGTCAGCCAATCACAGCAGTGGCCGCGGTTACACTGAATCCCACAGCAGACACGCCCCTTCAAACACAGCGATCAAATCAGAGGCTAAAATCAGGCTAGGAAAAATGCCTTTTATTTCTAAAGTATGACTATTTTTTATCTAAAAAACATACTAACATTTTAAAGGCAACCCAGGAAACATTATAAAATAATAAAATAACCCCATGTCAGGGGACCTTTAAGAAACTCTGCATGTTTTATAGCGCTTCAGCCTTTAATCTTGGCTTCTTGCATGTTGATTATTACCACACTGACTTAATTTGGTGGACAAAGGTTTTTTCAAATATTAATATTTTTATAATTATAGAATACAAATTACTTTTATTCTAACAATTGAAAACATGTTCATCATAGAAGAGGTGTGTTCAAGTCATTTGGTTAATAAATTGCATTATTAATCCATCTTTAAATACAAAAATGCATTACATCGTTGACCCATCTGCAGTCAGTCATGAAGGGATTTCTGGAATGTTATTCTTGAGCCACATGACATGCAGCCAACACTTCAGTAATATAACACAATAACCATATTCAGCTTATTTAATATAAATTGAGAAATGAAAGAGAGAAGCACAAATAACTGCAGTTCATCCAGTCATTGGTGAACTAGATATAAAAGAATACTTTAATGATTTCTTGTTAATTTGCAAAACTACTTAATTAAAACTGAAAGAAAAAAAAACTGCTCAGACTATAAAATTCCACTGATCTGATGCCTTGTTTATTTCAATATAATGCACCTCTTCCTCTTTCTGCTTACAGTGCTGTATGAACTATGAACCTGTCAGCTGAAACTGTTATTATGAAGTATCATTTACTCAACCTCATGTTGTTCCAAACCTGTATGAGTTTCTTTCTTCTGTTGAACACAAATAAAAGAAATTTTGAAGAATGTCGGCATCCAGACAATTAGTAGCACCCATTGACTTATATTGTAGGACAAAATAAATAGTGTGAAAAATATCTTCTTTTGAGTTCAACTCATACAGGTTTGGAAAAAACATGAGGGTGAGTAAATGAGGACATATACTATCTCTTTAAGCTTCTTTTGTTTATAATGTTTCAGTTCGTCAAGTTAAGAAATGTTGGATCTGATGTAACCAGTTTGGTAATATAGTCCAACTGCTAAACGGTTTGGCTACGCAAATTCTCTTGCTTAATTTCCCTTATACAGGTTTTTTTTCCCACGCAGTGTTGAAGATTATGCAAAAAAGAAGCAGTTTTAGTGCCCAACTGAAAGTGCTGGGAGTGTTATTTGATGCGATTTATAAAGTTTAAACTCTTTTCTATCCACATTGGTTTTCACATGTTCTGTTTTTTAACAGATTAAATTGTATTTGATATGGGCTAAATGGCACTGTCCTTGAAATGAAATTGGATTCGTGATTACAGTTATGATCATTGTTAATTTTTAACCACTCACACACTTTGGGATTGAGCAAATAGGTTGCGTGACTTTGAATTCATGTCTTGATAGGGCTTGTAAGATTTGATATTTGTGCAGAGTAGACAAGTTAGTATTGCATGTTAGTGGATGAGTGATCGTGCACAAAAGACTAATTAAAGAAGTCAAATTGGAAAAAACTATTTGCTCCAGTGGGGTAATCGATCTCCATTTCCTCTCCATATTTGCTTGACGTGCGAGAAGCAATGAGGTTCATTCTCGTGTTACGGAGCACGTTTGAGCTTTAGCAAGAACCAATGAGGTTCAATCTCGTGTAATGCAGCACATTTAGGGCGCTTTCACACTTGGTTCGATTGCCTGTTCCGAACCCGAGTTCTATTGCTCCCCCCTCCCCCTGCCCCCGATGGACTGTGTTCACAAATATTATTTGTATCCGAACCGCGGTACACTTGCGTCATCAAGCTGGAGCTGGCGCGTAATCATGTTGCTTGGTAACCGGCGCCGCTATGAATGAAAAGGCGTCAAAATGGATAGAATTGGTCGCTTCACATTTGTTCTTCTTTTTTTAAACCTTTGGTTTTGTTTTCAAAGAAAAGATACAGAAACACACTTATGTCTGCCGCAAAAGTAGGCCTACTAAAATCGTTCCAAAGACAGCTGGCTGTCAGCCGAAGACAATTTTTGCAGAGGCAAGCATAAATCATCTCTCTGCTTGCAGTGCGTCAATCCCGCTTTTCGTCAAGGTAGTGTACACACACACACACACACACACTGACGACTGTCCTGTCGACCACATTATACATTATACGTCATCAATAGCGGTTCACTTCCGCGGTTTGGTTCGATTGCGTTCATATCAGCAGCGAACCGTACCCCAGACCACCTTTTTAAGCGGACCCGAGTACGGTTCGCGGGTGCGCACCCGAGTTCGAAAGACAGCGTTCACATCATCCAAACGAACCGAACTCTGACGTCATTCGAACCCGGGTGCGCACCAAAAGTGCTAGTGTGAAAGCCCCCTTAAGCTTCAGCAACAACTAATGAGGTTTATTCTCATTTAGTTTTACGACCACTAAATAAACATTTTGAAGCGTCAAAGTGTCAGTTGCGTAGCTGTATATAAAGGAACAGAAAGCTCATAAAAAATATCTTAATTTGTGTTCCGAAGATGAACGAAAGTCTTACGGGTTTAGAACGACATGAGGGTGAGTCATTAATGACAGAATTTTAATTTTTGGGTGAAATACATTTTTGGGTGAAAATAAATAATTTGTCACGCCATGGTGTGACAAATTATTTATTTTTAAAAAGTGCCAATATTTACTGTCTCTCAATTAAGGTCATGGTAGTAGTTGCATTCAATTAGCCTACAAAGAATTAACCATTTAGGCTTAGTCTTTCCCTATATTTCTTATCATGGATTCCATGAATATGGAACCATTTTCTCTAAATATTTCAGATTTGCACGGATTACATAATTATTTTATTATTGATTAAATTATAAAGTCTGAAGGAATGGGTGAATAAAGTATTTTTTGGAAAAATTACATTTTGACACTAAAACAGCGTGCAGTTTAAGCTTTGGGCTCTTTTTAAGTGTCTTTCCAATTTTAGATGGGTGGGCATTGTCAACAGATGGTCCTCACTGCAGAACACGAAATCTAGGGGGAGGACCTGCCGAATCTCCGCCCCCTGATCCCTAACCCCACCCCTAATCCTACCCATCTCCACCCCTTAGATCTGGATCCAACTCCGCCCCCTGGATCTCGTGTACTGCAATGAGGTGCTACTGGAACAGACCACAACTCTAGGAGGAGTGAAGCAGACAGTTCTTGTTCATTCTCTGTCACGTTGATCTGTAGCTTGTATTGCTTGTTGTTAAGCTGTAGGCTGATTGTTGACGTCATTTTGTGTCTTTTGCAGAGTGAATCACCCGACTGTCGTCGGTAAACACTTCAGTCAATAACGGGACAGGATTCAACGGAGTTATAATATGTCTAATGAGAAATCGAAGTTAACTTATTTGATAACTGGAGGATGCGGCTTTCTTGGGCAGCACCTGTTGAAGGTTTTGTTGGAGAAGGAAGAAAATATCAAAGAGATCAGGCTTTTCGATAAAACCGTTTACCATAATCTACAAAGTCACAGTACAGGTAAGAAACTCATGGAATAAACTGTTAATTGCGAGCTTATTAGTTCCCACAATGGTTTGAATATTGATATATACTAATTTGTTGAATATACGTTTATGGTTGTGTCTGTGCGTCCCACCTATTCATAGTAACGTTCACTTTACGTTCGTTCGTTTTAGTTTTCAGACGCTTGATTTAACTAGGCTACATCACGCTATTTTTATCCTGTTTTTAAAGTAATTAACAATTTTATCACATCTCAAATGATGGATTGCGTTTTATAATATTCGAAAATGGGAATTAAATTATAAACATTTTTGGATTAATATGACAGATTCCTTTTTATTTTATACTCCTTTCTAGCCTATTTATTGTTGCATACCTTGAAAAAAATGAAAGCAATCTTGTTTGGGAATGACACAGGCTAAATAAAAATGTTATATTCACAAAATATTTACCTTGATTGTTCTTTATTTTCTTCAAATGTGATGTGTGATGAAGAAAATAAAGAACCCCTTAGAAAATAAAGAACCCCTTATATCATCCCCATATACTGATTGGCTTCTTCACTGTCTCCTCTCCACCAGTAAGCTAGTGTGTGGTGAGCGTTCTGGCGCAATATGGCTGCCGTCGCATCATCCAAGTGGATGCTGCACATTGGTGGTGGTTGAGGAGATCCCCCCCTCTATGTAAAGCGCTTTGAGTGCCTAGAAAAGCGCTATATAAATGTAATGAATTATTATTATTATTATTATTATTAACAATCAATATTAAATTTTGTCGGTAATACCAAGTACACACAACTTCTGAAAACAAAATTTCTGTTTGTGTTGGAAATGAAGCCACAAATCAAAGGGGACAAGTGGAAATATTTTTGGGAAATAAATAAATCTCTAATTCTAATACTCTAAATATTGAAATTATGTATATTCTTCCTTTAGATGATCATAGTTTTAAACAATTTGTAATTTATTGGTTGTTTTTGACATTCGTGATGAGCACTGTATAGGGTGTAGTTTCTGAAAGTGCCCAGGGGAAACATCTGTTGTTTTTTATGACTCCAATAATGGGAAAGAACATTGAAAAGACTGAGGAAATGGAAACGTTCATTCATGTCATTGTGTATATTCTGGCTTGGTAAAGTTGTTGAGGTCAGGCCACACCAGTCACTTCCATCCAATCCAGTGTCCTCTTCTCACCTTCCCTGCTCCATGAATCTGATGTCCTGCTGTACAAAGGGGATCTTATTCAGTGTATTGACCAACCCCCACTGGTCATGTTATAATTTTTTCAGTAAGTGTGTAGCTCTGCTTAGCTGAAGCACATTGTCCTTTTGCACTATATCATTATGCAACGTCTGCCTGAGAAATAGAAGCACGAGGCAAGTTGGATTTTAATTCAGGTAGCTGCTTTTAATTTATGTCAAATGGTTTCTATAAGCCAGAGTTTCTTGGCTCTTTCAACAAGTAGATCTCATACATCACAGTGTCCGTTGTCCTGCCTTAATGGACTCCTCACATATTTTGCTAGTTTTTATCCCGGGGGCTATGGGGGAAAGATTGCATTACTTCCACAAAGATGCTTGGAATTGACAACAGATTAACATGTGGTCAAAGTCTAAATGGCAACAGAAAGACGTTAGATAACCATTTGTTATCAGAACTGAACATTGACCTACTTGCATAGTGAACTAGTTGGAGGTTTTTTTTTTTGTTTTCTTTTTTGTATGCGACTGATTTTATATAAACTTTGTGACTGCTTGCAAAGATTTTGTTCATAGGCAGACTTTTTTTCCCCCCTAGTACTATAGAAATCTTTTTATTGTATAAAAATGCATTTAAGTAGCCTATTGAGTAATATTAATTAACAACATGTACTTACTATAGGGTTAGGAATAGGGTTTGGTTAGGGTTATTTGCGTGTAATTATGTATCATTTATTGCTATTGGTACAGTAAGTGGTTGCACTATTTTAAGGTGATGTAGTTACATTGTACTTACTCAAATAAGTTCTTGCTTTCTGCTGGGTGAGGTAGTGCTGTTGTCATGCGTGTGGGACCAGGGTAAATGACAGTCACTGGATACTAGGGACGGGATTTCAGGGCAGGAGTAGCTGCGCAGGAGGCGGTTGGAGCCGCTACCTGACAACGACACTACTGGAACGGCTTCTGCTTCATCCTTGCTTCCTTTTCTTTTTGCAATGGAAACATCTTTTCTTCTTGGTTGTTTTACATTCTTCATGGGTCTGCTTAGTTTTCTTTCTAAATGCACTGGATCTGTTGAATCCGGTGACAAACGTTCCTTTATTTCTTCTCTTGATGCAAGACCAGAAAGAGATGTCACCTGCTCCTCAGACACAGTAATAGACTGTTGGCGGTGCACTAATGTTATTTTTGAAGGTTTACTTCTTGGTCCTGCTGGATCAACCACTGAAGTCACCCTGTAGTCCTCAAACTTATGCTTGGGTGGACGAAGGTTTCTCTTCTGCAAAACTGTAGAAAATCTAGATAAAATGCCTTTTTTTATAGACATTCATGCATTTTATTAAAACACTAACAATCCATTTGCTTTTTAAGGTATCTTCTCTCTTTCTCTTTTATTCGCAGAGCATGTGAAGGTGGTGGTGGTGCAGGGGGATATAACAAATTATGGGAGCGTGCGTGATGCCTTTCAGGGAGCAGACCTGGTTATCCACGCAGCTAGTTTGGTTGATGTGTGGTATAAAGTCCCTGAGAAGGCCATCTATGCTGTCAATGTACAAGGTGAGTGAAGAATAAGATTGAGGAACAAAAGGAGATGGATAGTAATGACTTCACTGTAGAAGTGATGCCAATGTTTTGCACTTTGAACGGGTTTAGGATGTTGGCTGAGAAAACACTGAATGTTGCCAGCTTCGAAGATGGACTACTGTTTAAAAGTTTAGGGTTGGTAATGTCTGTTCAAATGTATGCTCACAAGGCTGCATTTATTGTAACAAACATATAGTAAAAAGCATAATATTGTGAAATAATATTACACTTATTATGTTATAATGGAATATATTTTTGTCAAATCTGAATTTTCAGTATCATTACTCCAGTCTTCAGTGTCACATGATCCTTCAGAAATCATTCTATTACGATGATTTGCTGCTCAAGAAACACTTTTGTATTATTATCAATGTTAAAAACAGTTGTGCTGCTTAATATTTTCTTGGAAACCATGATAGATTTTCTTTTGTAACCATGCAAGTCTTTACTGTCACTTTTTATTTCATGCATCTTTGCTGAATAAGTATTCATTTCTCTTTAAAAAAATCTTCTAGACCCCAAACTTTTTGTAATGATTTAATCCTCTGGAGGCAAGTTGAAGTGAACCCAAATGCAACTTTAATTCCAAAACATAATCAAACATAAAACAAAGGCATGAAACTGGGAACTCAAAACAAAAACAAGAACATCAACTGGAAACATTCAATAATAGGCTAGTTGCACGTGGCCGCCATTTTGGATTTTTGATCAGCGAGTGTGCGGTTGGACACTTCCGGTTTCGCTTTACGCCCGGTGCAGGGAGCCGGAGAAAGCCGAAAATGATCTCTTATAGTTGTTTATAGAATAAATTATATCATTTAAAATACTACTAAGATATATATTACTATCACATGAGCAAATGGCAATTAAATGCACGGATGCAAAGTCAGATTAATGAATGAAATACAACTGTTCATGCACGAACAGAAGATTGTCTTGGTCTCATGCTGCATACGCAATGAGAATTATGCCTTCTGTTATTGAGTTACAACTACGATTATATTTGATTATATCAGCAGACCTGATTTTGCGGGACACAGAGAGAACTTGCTATTATTATACTAGGTGAATAAATATAGATTTTATATTAGATGTCTTTTTGCAGTGATATGCTTTAAATTGCTAATGTTAATGACGGCGCTGACCGGCGCTGTGAACCTCACTAATAGGCCTAATATAAAACTCATTTTAACAGCACAGGTCTATTCAATCTAAATAATTAAGTGAAAATAATAATCCAATCATCGCTAAAAAACACATTTCCAAATAAGCACATACATTCCATTAGGAAAGACTAGAGAGATTAAATGCGTTCTTACCGGATTCAGTGCATCTTGAATTTATATTTTTTTGTCTGATGGCAGCTTCGAGTAGGGGCTTCTCATTCATTATGTGTCTAGACACATCTCCTTTTTTAGGGTCACCTGTAACTGGTTTTTACCATGTTTTTTTCTCCCATTCCTTATACGAACAAGACGCTTTTTCTTCTCGGGAGGCCAGATCCATTTTTCTGTTGCAGTTTTTTTTGTCTGTGTGTGTGGGGGTTTCTCGGTGTTTGTTTTCCCTCTCTGACTAGAACCAATAATTACGGCTGCGCTGCGCATGTTCAGTGTTTTATTATTAACATTTTTTATTGTAGAATTGTCATTTAAAGGACGATGAAATAAAATGATGCAGACGAAATTAAAATGCGGGACACTGCTTATGACTTGCGGGACGTGGGACAAAGCTTCAAATTTCGGGACTGGTCACCAACGGGGAATGCATGAAAAGCTGACTTCTTTGTTTTAACGTGTTTCATAACGAGAAACAGTGAAGTGCTGAGGCTGTCACCTCTGAAAGGCAAGTCGCCTCCCTTGAATTTTAAAAACAGTCATGTGCATCAAAAGCATGTCATCAGAGGGTGACAAAAACTCCCGGGTCGTCGGCATTACTTTATTTGGTAACATTATTATTGCTCTAACTGTTTGTATTTTAGTATGTCATTTAAATGCATATAATCTTCAGCGTATTTCACCTGTGCGTTTCTATGCGTTCTATTACTGCATTTATTTTGTGCAAGTGAGATGAGTAAAGATCATCTTAAATCATAAATATTTCATAAATCATTATCTGTTTTTTTTATAAGCAGCACATACAGTATTTGCTGTAAAATATACACAAACTTATAGCTAGGCCTATATTAAATTGTTTGTGTTAACTAACGTTACAGTTAAAAATGTAAATTACTCGCAATTATTAAGATTTTTTTTCGCCGTCGTTTTTATCTATAAAGATAATTGATGCAAAGAAAGCATGTAAGGAAAATATATGTTGATAATATTGATCGAGCAACTGATGTAAGTAAGTGAAAATATATGTTGATAATATTGATCGAGCAACTGCAAGTAAGTGAAAATATATGAAAATAGAAATGAGAAAATAGTAGGCCTATTTATGGAGATAAATAAGACAGGTCAAACGTGTGAATGTTCAGGCGGTATTGTATGCAAACAAATATAATCGTAGTTGTAACTCAATGTTAACAGAAGGCATAATTCTCATTGCGTATGCAGCATGAGACCAAGACAATCTTCTGTTCGTGCATGAACAGTTGTATTTCATTCATTAATCTGACTTTGCATCCGTGCATTTAATTGCCATTTGCTCATGTGATAGTAATATATATCTTAGTAGTATTTTAAATGATATAATTTATTCTATAAACAACTATAAGAGATCATTTTCGGCTTTCTCCGGCTCCCTGCACCGGGCGTAAAGCGAAACCGGAAGTGTCCAACCGCACACTCGCTGATCAAAAATCCAAAATGGCGGCCACGTGCAACCAAGGGGGTAATCCATCGACCGGAAGTTGAAGCCGGCCGGGTGCCGCCATCTTGTAGCAGAACTTCACTTGCGTTAGCATTTCCATTGACTCCCATTCATTTTGGCGTCACTTTGACAGCGAATAACTTTACATCTGAGGCATTTAAAGACTCCATTTGTCCATTATTTATTTCTAAAGAAACACGACAATGTATAAATGGCTCCATTACCTTCTATGTTACATTATGGCCCCGTAGAAACAGTTTTAGTAAAAATAGGCTAACGATTGCGTCATAACCACTCGACTCTCTGTCGCGCTGTACAGAAATTACCGTACAGACAGGAGGAGAAGCTCGCAGCCAATCGGGGGGACGTCCCGTCAAGAGAGAAGCCCATAGATAATGAGTCCATAAAAGCAACGGAATACTTACTCCTGCTCACTCACGATAAAGGACTCTTTGCTCAAGTTCCCCGTCTCTGCAAGATTAACGTTGGCAATTTTCACGCACAGCTACTAGAAGATTCACGTCTGTCAGACAGGTTGCTCACGTCATCAAGCTTAGTTTGAGTCGGTCTGAGTCTGCGCGTCAGGAACGGAAGTTCTCAAAAATCGCTAAAGTCTGGTTCCAATGAGATCGCTCTGTCCATTTCTTTTACTGTCTATGCGTGCAACTAGCCTTTTGACAAAGACACATGGCAAACATGAGGACTAAAATACACAGACTAATTACAAGACAAGGAACACCTGTGAACAATGATCAGACGATTAACCAATGATAAGACACATGGCAGGATCACATGACAAACAGGGAATCACATGGCAAGACACAGAAACATGACAATGACAAGAACAAGAAACAAAACCCAAAACCCAAAACGTGACACTTTTAAAGAGTAGTGTTTTGGGGGTTTTTTTGTCAGTGGGTGTTATGTAGGTTTTGGTTACTCCCACAGTTTTTCTTTGGTGACATTTCCAGTAACCTTAAAACTTTACGATCTGTTTGGTCCGGAAATGCATCATTTACTCTCACAGACAAGGCGAGAATTTGCATCGTTTTCTTTCTGCAAATGAGTGAGCATAATAGGCATGTGCTTTTTAGCTACAGTCCACAGCTCTTCTACAATAAACCCTCATGCTAGGCTGGACAGATCATGTGGCTTTATGAGAAATAGAGCGTATATGCATTTACTTACATCTCATTAAGCTCATCATAAAGATCAAACTCTCCATTTACAAACATTACATAAAGATGTCTGATGTTGGAAATGCATTCAGCATCACCATTTGCATGAGTTAAAACATGACTATATTATCAGATACGATGTTCTTATATATGTCTTCAGATCTGTCTTGGCCCTTTCATGGTTTTACACTTATTCATCAGCCTGTTTTTAATTTTGACTGTTTGTGGTAGACCTTATTGGTTTTAGTGTTCCTAACATGTGTTTAGGACTGTGTCAGTTCAGCACTCATTGATATAGACAAACCCAGAGGATACAGATAAAAACAAGAGCAAGAGATGATGAATGTGCTATCGTACTGGAATGTTCCATTGGTTTGGATCCTACCCTACCATATCTTTTGATCCTTTTCTCTCACATCTGCATTCCACATTCATTTCCCAGAGATCTCCTCTTTAAATGCCATTGAAAGAGGCTGGATACTTAAAAGCCATCTGCACAATGGATAACCTTTATTTTTCCACTTATCACTACGATACTTCAGAAAGTGTTTACATAGCTGATGGGTTTCTCGTTCAGACTATCTGGTGCTTCCAAGTGCATGAAAGCATTACTTGGAATTTAGGGATTGTTTCATCACTTCCAGCTTAACAAGTCTGATTCTCGTTAATGTCACTGTAAGCAACACAAACACCTTTGTTTTAGCTCCTTCATTTGTTTTAATACAGCAGTAGTGTTGCTTTTTTCTTCACCCCTTAGTTGTTTTTAATGTATTTTTATTTAATGGTTTTTCTTTCTGGATGCTGTTTTCCATCAGGGACGGAGAATGTAATAAATGCCTGTGTAGAAATCGGTATTCAGAATTTGATCTATACAAGCTCCATGGAGGTGGTTGGTCCAAATGTTAAAGGAGATACATTCATCAGGTAAGTGTATTTATTCAAATTGTGTTTTTGATATATGTAAGACGACTTTACATAGTGTTGTGTGTTCAGATTCAAAATATTCACTGGAATAAAAAGAGTTTAAAGGATTTGGGTGTAATGGAGAGAATGTCTGTGAGACTGAAGGAGAGGAAGGGTTTGCACATGCTGATTCTGGAATGACAGCTGAATTCCACAACGTTCTCAACATTCCATCTTGAAATATCTGTCAAGCTGAATAATTACAGGCCACAGTTGTGATGGACACAGTTTGGGAATGCTATTTACACTTTTTTAACATTCAAAAAGTAAAGGTCTGTATCTCTGCCACTGCAGTTTTTCTACTGGTCACCTGAAGCAAGTGACGCTTGCATGTCTCAAAACACTTGTGGTGTTGTGCATCGTGTTCTAATGTTAGGAATTCTAAAGTAGCAATTGCCAGCTCTGTAATTAGTCAGCCCTGATGGAATCTTATGTTTTTCCCACATGTTCTGTGCTGATTTTGCAGGAAACTTGTGAATTCTGCTTGTAAACATGTTAGAATGTGAGCTGAGAGTACTAAAGACACAAACTATTTAGCTACAATATGTAAAAAAAAGAAAAGAAAAATGTGTATAAGTTGGGAATTGTGAATGCTCCACGATCTGTGGAGAATTCACAATCAGATCGTGCTTTGGCCTAGTAATCAACCAAACTGAAAGAAAAATGTGTCATGCAGTCTTATCAGTGACCCAAATGACAACTTTAGGATGACTTTTAAGTGCAACAAAGGTTTTTAACTCAAGTCTTGCCACCAACTTCAAATAAAAAAGCACACTGGGAAAACCTTGAAGTCTTCCCATTACTGTCACGTGCTAAAAACATTAATGTTTTCCTGAGTGACTAACACACAGATCATCAGTTTTGAGATATTTTCATTCAAACATACACACATCCACACATTAATTAAATTATTTAAAAGCAACAAGATTATATTTCAGCAATTATATGTCATCCCTCCTCTCTCTCCCTACTTCCCTCCACATTTATACCAAGTCCCTGTGCTGTGTTTTGATATCTAATGTTTTTAAACATCAGTTGCAAGCCTTTCTAGGTCATGAAAATAATGAATGTTTTTGCTGGAAAATGTGAGCTGCCATAGACAACTATTCACACAAGAAAGTTAAAAATTATCTTCATAACCTCTTTGGAAAGCAGTATTGCACAAACGATTTGTGTTGCTGCCATATCTGTTTATTACGGTGGCCGAGACAGCTCAACGCACTGCAACTGAAGCAAACACATGCAAATAGAAAAAAAACGCGTGCAAATAGAAAAAAACACCTGCAAATTAAAAAAAACATCTTGCATCAGTTTCACAACACATGTGTGCTCCAAATCCAGAAACGCGCTGCAAATAACACAGACCACAACGGAAATGTTTCCAGGGGAACCAAATAAGTGACGAACCCGGCTTGGACATGCTTATTGCTCGTGAGCGTTTCTGTGCCCTACTCCCTTCGAAGGGCAGACGGCAGAGCCCTTAAAGTGGGACTTTGGTGTGAGCAGGGCTCTAGTGTGCCATTATAGCCGTGTGGAACGCACTTGATTAAGGAGCAACTAAAGACAACGTAATTCCTCATTATTTTCACCTGGGATGTTCCCATGACAACACAGCACGGCGTCCATCAGCTGAAGAGCTGGTCTTACGACATAAATATAATGCTGTTAACATAACGGTCGCAAATACATTTGTATTTTTGCTTTTTTTTAAATATGCGTTATATATCTGTGTGTCTCAACTTTAAAAATTTTGGACCCTACATTACCTAACATTTCTTACGAAACTTTTCTTTATGAAAATGTAAACATAACATGAAACAATTTGTACAGTGTAACTGATGTATAGATAAATATCTTTCCTTCATGTTTTTCTTCTTTATCTTTTTTATTTATTTATTTTAGTTTCCAATTCATTGTTCTTTTCTCATTTGTATTCTGATGACATTGAACATATAATACATTTTGTACATTGTATACAAGTTGTAGGGCCTATGACATAATTTTTTTTTATCTCTGTATGTTTTGCACAAATAAATAAATAAAGTAGAATTTTAAGCTGTAAGCACCAGCACGCATAGATTTATGGATATTTGATATCTATCTATGCCAGCACGTCCCAGCCGGGTTCGTCACTTATTTGGTTCCCCTGGAAACATTTCCGTTGTGGTCCGTGTTATTTGCAGCGCGTTTATGTATTTGTGTTGTGAGCTTTTGCAGCGCGTTTCTGTATTTGGTGGTGTTGTGAGTATTTGGAGCACACGTGTGTTGTGAAACTGATGAAGATGTTTTCTTAATTTACGGGTGTTTTTTTTTATTTGCATGTGTTTTTTTCGATTTGTATGTGTTTTCTTCTGTTGCAGCGTGTTGAGCTCTCTCGGCCACCGTAGTTTCTCTCACAATACAGAATTTTAAAAGCTAAAATGCAACAAACTATTTCTATAAATAATTGTAATTAATTACAAACCCCAACTCAAACCCAAAGTTATACCTAGGTAAAATGTTTGAGTTAGGTTTGGAATTGTTATTAAAGGTGCATTGTGTAATATTTAGGAGGATCTGTTGACAGAAATGCAATATCATATACATAACTATGTTTTCAGTGGTTATGTTTTTATTACCTTAGAATGAGCCATTTCTATCTACATACACCGTGGGACCCCTTACATTGAAATACGCTGACATGTTTCTACAGTGGCCCTCAACGGACAAACATGTTTCGTCACTATGTTGTTCTTCGTGAAAGAAGATAGCGAAAGAAGTCAGCGAATAAAACACTGACACAATGGTGAACAAGTAACAATAATATTCGCAATAACATAGTTTTACTGAATAATTAAGTAAACCTAATTTCTTAATTTATCTTTGTAAAGAAACCTCATTTCTTAACTGGCTACTCTCTGCTGTCTCGACATCTTTTCCTGTCGGCCACTGTAACTTCTGCCACCACTAGATGCCGCTAAAAATTACACAGTGCACCTTTAAAGGTGCTCTAAGCGATGTCACGCGCTTTTTAGGCCAAAACATTTTTTGTCACATACAGCAAACATCTCCTCACTATCCGCTGGCTGCCTGTCCCCTGAACACACTGTAAAGAAACGCGATCTCTGTAGGCCCAGGCTCCACAAACAGCAACAAAAACAAACTGCGGCGACCCGCTCCCCGAAACATAACAAACTGTTCCAGCCAATGACCGACAAGAAGGGTTTGGGGGTGTGGTTTGGGGGGTTAGTGTGCGGATGAGGAGGAGGGAGGGTCTAGCTAGCCGCCGTTTTGTTTGACAATAGTTCGAACGTCAACAAGAAGTGACGTCAGCCAGGATCGCTTAGAGAACCTTTAAGTGACAATTATATATAAAAAATATATTGTTTCATTTGACCAAAAATGTCATTTTATATGCGCAATGACAGAGACAGTGATGTTTCAGCCATCCTCAGGATGTAGCGTCATTTTGTGCTTGCACACAGATTCCATCTGTGCAAGCTGTAACAATGCATCTGTGTCTACTCATTCAGAGAGGGTATACAAAGAGAGCGAGCATTATGGGGATGAATTTGGTCTTATAGTTTGAGAGTATTGGTTGGGTTGTGCCACATAATTTTAGTTTCAGACTTGAGTTGAGGCTTCAACTTAATGCCTGTGTGGCTCTGCTACATATTACTTAACAACATTTAAAAACAAATCTCAGACTTTAACTCTTTGTGTTCTTCTTCCTTGACACAGAGGGAATGAGGATACTCCATATAATATATTTCATGAGATGCCCTACCCAAAGACCAAAGCTGCAGCTGAGAAAATGGTGCTGGGAGCCAATGGCACAAAGGTACTGCACAATTCAACTGAGTACAACAATCACACACCGATTTAGAAATGACCCTGGCTTTTCTATTTTTAGTGTTCAATCACTTAGAAAAGTCACAATCACCATTTACAAACACACTGATTAAAAACAGGAAACAGGCACTGATACATTTTCCTATCTTTAATTTACATGTAGGAAGTTAGAGTATGTTTACACGACAACAATGTGCTAAAAACGGAAAGGTTTTTTCTTTGTACAGATGACAACGTTATCAAAACGATTCATGTTCTCACGGATCTGTGAAAACGACTAATAACGCTGTATTATGCATGCCAGACGTACACTGAACAAAATTATAAACGCAACACTTTTGTTTTTGCCCCCATTTTTCATGAGCTGAGCTCAAAGATCTAAGACTTTTTCTATGTACACAAAAGGCCTATTTCTCTCAAAAAAATTTCACAAATCTGTCTAAATCTGTGTTAGTGAGCACTTCTCCTTTGCCGAGATAATCCATCCACCTCACAGGTGTGGCATATTAAGATGCTGATTAGACAGCGTGATTATTTTACAGGTGTGCCTTAGGCTGGCCACAATAAATAAAATAAAAATCTTTTTTTTTTTTTTTTTAAAGTGCTCAGTATGGGCGCTCACCAAGCGCGCATCCAAGCTCACATTTTGTTTTGAACTACATGATTTACATGCATTTTGAGGCATATACTGTACATGTTTGCAGTTTTATCAACTTTTCTGCAAGTATTTAATGTCATTTAAAAAATAATTATTGTATTCTTTTTTTAACATAAGTTTTCTACTTAGTACTTGCATGTGTTATATTCAGGAGAGATGTACAAATATCACCCAAATATTATTAAAATCTACTAACATTTTGATGGAATTGAAACTCTTACCTCTCAATCACATTCTAGTTGCTATTTTCCAGCTTTGCACAATACTGCACCCTCCCAAACCCAAGGGAAACAAATACCACATAGCTGGAATCCTTAAATCACTATGTATGTTTTTATTATCGTCACGCCTTTCCTCTTGGTGTTTCAGCGTGCAATGCGTTTACTGGCGTTTCTAAACACTATAAATCTTCATAACATTGTTGGTGTCTTCTGCATCTGAGTGATTTGTTCTGTAATGGAATATGGAAAGATAATTTGTTTGCTTTTCTGCTGCAAAAAAAATGATTGATTTCTTTCTTTCTCCTTTCTCCCACTCTCCATGATTAGGTAAAGGGAGGGAACATTCTCTACACATGTTGTCTGCGGCCAACAGGTATCTATGGGGAACAACACCAGCTCATGAAGGACTTCTACCAGAACGGGGTCCGTACAGGTGGTTGGGTGATCAGGGGAGTTCCACGGGACACGGAGCACGGACGGGTTTATGCAGGTTAACCAACAGACTCTTGCTTCAGTGTGTGATGATTCTGATTTACCATAAACACAGTAACTACAGCAACAGGGGAACTGAGAAAAAATTATAGAATCTTGATTGATTTGATGTCACTTTATACACTCCCTTTTTTCTGAATCTGAGCACATCTTTCTGTCACAGTTCAGGGGCTTCATTTATAAAACTGTGCGTAGAATCCTTACTAAAAGTGTACGTGCGCCCGAAAGCCAAAAATGTCGTACGCAAAAAAATATTCAGACTTATAAAACCGTGCGTACGCCAGAACCTGCGCAGAATTCACTTTATAAATCCCAGTCAGCGGAAGATTGTGCGCACATGCGTCTCCACCCCGAAATAACCATATATGGAGATTATAACGCCTAGTTTTACTATGCATATCCTCATCTGCATATCATTTGCATATGATTATTCATCCACATGATAACAACACCATTAATGAGAATGGCATATTTAATCTAAATGTTTATATCAGAAGTAAAACATAGTTTAAATCATTCATTTGTTTATTTAAACTGTTATTGTGAACATGCACTGTATTTATGATGGACTCATAATGAAGATTTACGGTTTTACTTCATCTGCGTCAGTTTCACTAAACGGCCCAAAGCACTCGCTGCCGCGGATATTTAAGAAGGGTTGGATATTTGCTTCAAGTGATAGGTTTGGTGAGTGAAATTATATTTGTATTATCTTTCTGTATATGTATAATTTTCTTTAGATTTTCTGTCTAAAAGTGACCAAAAAGACATTTAACTCGAGCTCACCATTGGTGTCGCCAAACTGCTCCTTCTCCAAAACGTTCGTACGCATGGGTCAGAGTTTGCGTGCAGGTGCGCAAATTTTCCCGTCAAGTTTGTTTTTATAAATCACAACTTATGCGTCGGAAGTAGCGTAGGCCTCTTTCAGGGCCTGTTTTGTGCGTACACAATGGTTATAAATGAGGCCCCTGGTCATTGCCAGGGTTCTGTCACTTCTGTCTAGTTTATATCTTGGTTTGGTGACAGAGCTCTGGCACTCCCGGTTTGTCATGTGCTTGTGTTATAGTCCTGTTTGTTGTGAGCATGGCTTGTCATGTGTTCCCTTGTGCCATGTGCTCTCCTGTTGATTGTCTAGCCCCTCCCATCTTGTTATCTGATTATTGATTAATTTGCTCCACATGCCTTCCCTTGTTACCCCTTTTTATTTGCTTCCCTATTTATTCTCCCTGTGTTTGCAGTCCTGTACTGGTTCGTCATCTATGTATCCTCCTGTTCCTGTGTCCTGCCATAGTTTCTGATGTATTTTGATGCCTGCGTTGTTTTTCCCCCACGGGGAGGTTTTGTTTGTATTTAGTTTCCTTTTTATTATTAATTAAAGATCCTTCCATTCTCGCACTTGAATCCTCGCTTCACCATTATTCCACCCGAGGGATTTTCACATCTGGGTGATGCCACAGATTCACAATTATGATGATCCCCTTCCTAAAAACTCTGCTATTTTTGTGTGTAAAGACACATTTATACTGTGAAAAATAAAAGTCTTATAAACAAGTCTTAAATATTGCCTGGAAAATATTCAGTAGTATTAATGATAATATTTATCTTTTTGTAGCCATTAGATTACTTTTAGTTAGATGAACCTCAAGCATAAACCATAAGTAAAACAAACCATGGCTGTCAGTGGAATCAGTTAATTGTGATAAATCTCATGATTTTTGTCCAGTCTTTAGAAAGCAGAATGGAATAATATCTAATTTAGTACAATTTTAACTTTATTTTATTTGATATAATACATTTATGTATTTATTTTCGACTATTTTATATTTTTACTATTATTTTTCTCTTAATTTTTTAATGTTCCCCCTAGAACTCTTGACTTTATTAAATGAGTAGGAAAAATGTCAGTACATACATAGAATGTGAATGTATCTGTGCTGTTTATATATTTATGTAATGGTTTTAAAAATGCTATAATTAATTTGCTTGAGTTTGGAATGATAGACTCTCTTAAATACCTCGGATGTGTTTTTTTGCACGCAGGTAATGTGGCCTGGATGCACCTGCTAGCAGCACGTGCTCTGCGGGAACATCCCGATCGGCTGGGTGGGGAGTTTTATTTCTGCTACGATGACTCTCCATACAAGAGCTACGAAGACTTCAACATGCAGTTCCTGTCGACCTTCAACTTTCGTCCGTTGCATGTGCCATTGTGGGTGCTGTGGTTCATAGCGTGGATGAACGACCTGATGCGCTGGCTCCTCAAGCCGTTCTACAACTACACACCACTGCTCAATGGATACACACTCGCTGTGGCCTGCACATCCTTCACTGTCTGCACAGACAAAGCGTTTCGGCACTTTCAGTACCGACCGCTCTACAGCTGGGAGCAGTGCCTGGCACGTACGCAGAGCTGGGTCAACACGTTCCCTTTAGAAACCAACACTAAGGACACCTAACAGCTGCTTTAATATCATGAGGACAGGTTTAATAAACACATCTGTGGCCAAATATGAAAGATGCTTTTTGGGTTTGAGTAATGACCTCTTATCTAATGATGGACTGCACAACATTTTTTTATATGTTGTACTTCAGTATTTAGGATGTGCTTTGCATTAAGTACATTTAATCATTAAATGAACCTCTTGATCATATAATCACAGTTAAGATGATCTCTCAGACATTTAGATGAATGAAATGTCATGTAATTATTGGCATTAGTATTAACAACTGAGATAAACTTTACATTACGAGCACTTTCATGCAAAATGCACAACTGAAAGTATTTTGATAGTAATCTGGCAAGTCTTTGAGCTGAATATATGTAATGTATCAGATATAACGTGTTATACAATCAACCACATATGCCTGTATATTTATACATTTCTTTGTCCAAATTATTTAACTGAAAAATATTTGTGTAAATATTATATGGAAAATATTTAGATTTAAATACATTTTATTGTTTCTCTACTCACCATTAGGATAATTAAATGCATAAGTTTGAAGAGAAAAATAAAACTATGGCTGTCAATAGAATAAATATTTTTATTCCGTCCAGTCTTTACAAAGCAGAAGGAGTTTGGAATAACACATTTTAATTAATTTATTTTATTATTGTTATTATTCATTTTGTCATTTACATTTCTACACAATTTATCTCAGAAATGTTCCAACCCCCCTAGCAATCTTGGCTTTATTAAATTAATTAAATGGAAATACTTAAACTTAATGATGTGCTGTTTTTATTGCTTCATGATTTTAAAATTGCTATAATTAAGAAGTTGAATCACTTGTTAATGTTACCTATACATATAGCTCAATTGCAGTAAAGACTTCCAGACTCTCTTTTTTTTCTTTAAAGAATCATTACAGTGACTCACAATAACCACCCTCATCCTCCAGGAAACTCAGATGTTCCATCTCTGACTGGACAAGAAACACCATCTGATTTTACCAGATGGCCAGGTTTTCCACATCTGCTTCTATTGTTATAGAGATGGAACTATTGTTATAGGGGGGAAATATAACAATAGAAGCTATAACTTTTTCATAACAATAGAAATATACATATAACACATATATAACAATAGAAATATAACTTTTTCAAAAGCAATCATTTTGCATATGGTACCCATATAGACATGAAAGTAGACTCTGTTTGCACTTTAAAGAAACAAAAGAAAGAAAGAAAATGCATAATGTACTTAGTCTCTCTCTCTCTCTCTCTCTCTCTCTCTCTCTCTCTCTCTCTCTCTCTCTCTCTCTCTCTCTCTCTCTCTCTCTCTCTCTCTCTCTCTCTCTCTCTCTCTCTCTCTCTCTGTGTGTGTGTGTGTGTTGGTAAACCCTACGAAGATGACAATATCCAAAATCCTTGTCCTTGTGGGGACATGTTTTGGTCCCCATGAGGAAAACAGCTTAAATCATATGGTTTCCTGTGATGTGTAGGTTTTGGGGTAGGGTTAGTGTAAGGGGGATAGAAGATACAGTTTGTACTGTATAAAAATCATTATGTCAATGGAAAGTTCCCATAAAACATGAAAACACGTGTGTGTGTGTGTGTGTGTGTTCTTCCACAGAAAAAATAGTCATGCAGGTTTGTAACGACATGAGGGTGAGTAAATGATGACAACATTTTATTTTTGGGCGAACTTTCAGTGTGGTTAGAAACATTGAAAGAGCAGAAAAAACACGAGGGTGTTCCCAACTGGCTTCAGTTCAGGGGCATTCCCTTGTAATTGGTTGTAGACTATGGGAGTACCTCGTAACAGCTTCCATAGTGACCGTCACAATATTTATTCTTATATAATTGATGAACAGCTGTGCACCTCTGAAGGAATTGTGGTTAGACAAAGATGAGCTACATTGCATGTACAAACTGCGACATCTAGTGGTTAACATGAGACATGACCTCTTCGAGGAATCTGTATTTGTAGAATGACTTACCTATTTTCTTGGAATGATGATAAATCCTAGTGATAAATCTGTGTATATACATTTTCTTTTGTTCTTTTTTAAATATGAAGCATTATGTCAACGTCTGTTATTAAAAATCAATAATAATGGATAAGATAATTTTTAATGGCATTTCTCTAACTATCTATTCTCAAGTGACCCCTCTTCCTCTAAATTGCCCTTATTTTTATACACATGTGACATGGCATAATAATTTTGCTCAGGAATAAGTGCCTTATAGTTTGATTTACCCTTTGTAATGCTTTTGTATAATCTGTAACTGTTTTTATCTTTCGTTTGGCATACGCCTTTTGTATAATGGCATACAAAATTATAATTTTTCAGGGTTGATACATTGTGAAATTTAACTAGTATAATGATATAACATGATATTCGGCTCACTTTTTTTAGTACTCTTTTCATTATGTATTAATTAATTAATTGATTATTATTCATTTTTATTGGATAAAAAACAATAACACTTTATTTGCGGTGTCTTTGTTACCTGTTACATACTTACTGTAGTAATAATGGTAAATTATAGATAATTACAAGCAGCTAAACCTGCTTAATATACTATCTTACTATACTTACCCTATGTAAGTAGCCTACGTCAATCAGTACGAATGTGTAATTACATTTTAACAAGGCCCACTTAAAGTAAAGCATTACCAAAAAACAATCAACATTTGATTTTTATTTAAATATAAAAGCTTTATATTTTTTTGTTATTTTAAATAATGAATCCCTTATCTTACCTTATCGTAGTTATCTCTTAATAATAGATACATATTATGTCGGGAATAAAGAAGGTCCATTGGCAGTTGCTTGTCTTTTTAAATGAATGCGCAAAACAATATATAGACAAATGACAATATAACAACGAGAAGCAAAATTAAAACATAGTTCGAAAAAAAGAGGGTTAAATACAAAATATAAAACATTGACAAATACATAAATAATAAAATACTTACAAGTTTTGTGAATTACAAGTCAGTTAAACATTAAAAAGAATTGAAAACAAAAAAAATGTTAAAGCTTTTTTGCTTAGATATTCAAACAGAAGTCCTCAGCATTGGTTGACCTGACTGGACGTCGTTACGTCAGTCGATACTGAGCGCGCTCACGTCTTGTCGGACGGGTGCGCGCACGTCGCTGTCACTCAGAGTTGGTTGTAGGAAATGCGGACACGGCGATATGTCAGCAGGGCCGTGTTTATCTCATCCAGCGATGTGGCCCGATTCCCATTTCAGGGAGGTTTCTTGACTTTCTCAAATGCAATGCACAAGTGCACTCAATGCCAACACTGATACGGATCTGTTTGCGCGCGGATGTTTGGGAACCCAGTGCGGAGCGAGAGTGTTTAGCTAACCGTTAGCCCTTCAACACACCACCCTCCACACACAGACCCCTAACCTCACTTTTAGGCTTATCATTAAAACTTTCCTATCGGCCCAGAGGCTTATCAACGGCCTGCCTTCCTCGCGCCTTAAATCCGCTCAACGTCGTCGGCGGCGGTGGCGGGGGGTCACGGCAACCGGTGTGGACAGGAGCCTCCCCGGCACGGACGGACAGATCCCTCAGCTGCGGGTGAGTCTGAACACTCGTCTCTATTGTCTTCTCTCAGAAGACGAGACAGATGTGGCAAAACAGATCAACAGAGTTTATAACACTATTTTCCTGCGCCGTAAACCGGGAAGTTGAGCTGATCGGCCGCACTGGATACTGTAACGTAGGCATGAGCTAGCAAGTTAGCAGGCCAGTTTCAGCAACTACATTAATACATTACAATTAAACACTTATAATGTTTTATACATCATATGTATCACGGGTTGATTGGTGATTCTCGGCATAATTAAGACACGTTTGATGAGAGGCTGTTGCATGACAGATCGGACAGCACGATTAGCTGCTTTAGATTAAACTTGGCAGTCACAAATCCAGCTAACGTTTACGTTACTCCTGCGGGTTAAGTCTCTGGGACCAAATAATCACTTTATGACCTTACTTGTGTGTCTTATGACTGTAGTCTTGCGTTTTTTAAAGCGTGATGTATTTTGTAGAGATGTTGGTCTTTTAGAAATGGAGGTTTCCCGGTATCCGGGTACCACTGTATTATTGTCCAGTCACCTCACATGTGTGGTTTTAGTCACACTGCGATCATTGACAGCTCACACGTTTGCACCAATGCCTTTATAAAAACTGTCCCTGAAAATTCTTTTGTGTGGTTTGTTTACATCTCACCTCGGCCCTCACACTTGTTTAGATATTATTAGTCTTGGTCACCCGGAACGAGCACAGTTCATGTGTATGGGTGGAGTCCCACCAAGTAGTAGCATTGCCATTGTCCGATTCCTGAACGAATGGTTCTTTTGAGCCGGATCGTTTCAGTGAATCATTTGAACCGATTCACAAAATCAGTTCGAACGATTTGGGCTTTTAACCAACAACAACTGATTGACTGATTAAAATTACTTCAAGAGTATTTGGAGGATTTGACAGTTGGGGAAGAAAAAAATATATTACTTTAATCAAACAGCATGAATATGACTGATATATGATCGTTTATCTTCACATACGAGTTGGTTGGTTGAATAATAGCTTTAAAATGGTGTAAACCCGTTTTCAGCCAATAGATGTAAATGTTTTAGCATTGTCTAATCTAATGTAGGCCTAAATGCTAATTTATATTTAGGTACCAAATGACTGTTCTTTTTAAGATTAATGTATGAGCATTTTTAATTACACCATGTCTTAAAAGGATCATTGAATCATTTTTGCACCTGTCTGAAAACAAATTTGTGAAAATGAGCAAGACTTCCTATCTCTACCACAAAGGCTTCCTGATGAGTTTTACAATTAGGTTATTAATAGTTTATTGTGCGATAACTCTTTATAACACATTACTTTTTAATAGTCATCTGACTTCTGTGAATGTTTTATCAGCTTTTTGTAGACACACCCCATAGTTTGACAATCACACATGGTTTGTGTTTCAAAACAGTGAGCTGTCTGCCTAGACAGCATTTGTGCTTTACATTCACAAGCATGTTCGAACTTTCAGCCACGGCGCTTCTGTCAAGGAATCACTTCCTTTTTATGTCCTGTCAGCATGTGTACTCGGACACATTTATATATAGATCATACGGAAGTCTATGAGGCAGATCTTAGTGTAAGAGGAAATAGTGGTAACCTGTTCCTTTACACTGTACCTAAACTAGATCTGTACAGACTTGTGCAACCCATCATATCACTGTTGTTTGCATCTGTTTAATTCATATTCATTGAGACTTTCTTTGAAACAGTTCACCATTGTCTTCTTTACCAAACAATTGAAAGGTCCTTGTGTCTGAATGTCTCTTACTCTTTAGGATATGCTTAAATACAATGCTTCATGTCACGTGTTGTTACCCTTTATTTATTTTAGTTACTAATTTAGATTTAAAACGATAATCTAAACCAATTTATGCTATTTTAAGACTTATTCAGCCAGAATGCTGTAAAGACATTTAAATGTTACAAAAAATTTATTTCTCAGGATAAATTGCATTTAAAAGAATATTAAAATAGACAACAGCATTATTTCACAAAATAACTGGTTTTACTGTATCAAATAACCGCAGCCTCGGTGAGCAGAAGACATTTAAAAAGCATTTTTTAAAAATCTTACCGACCGACCCCAAACTTTTGAACAGTAGTGTGTATTCTGGGTTAAAATAATACTCGTTGCAGTTCTCTCTAAGATCTACAAGTTAAGCATGCTGTCAGTTAAACTCATGTCTCAGATTTTATAAGCAAACAAGAAATGTGTGGATATTTGCCCCATAGACTTCTATTGTAAGTGCATTTCTCTATATATTTTTTAAAATAATATTCCTCAAAGACATGTCATTCTAGAAGTCTTATTGTCTTACTTGTAACAAATGGATGAATGATAGATGATAAAACAAATATAGAATAACCAACACAATCCTGTCTATCTAGTGCGCTTCCCATAATGTTTATGCATTATTTAGGACAGTAGTCGGGAGAGTCTGCGCTCTGCGGTCTTTTGCGGTTATTCAAACACATTCGACCACATGAGCGTTCGTTTACACTATGAAAGCAATCCAGTCGAATGCGTTTTCGACTACCTCTGAAAGTGGTCGAAAGTGGACAAGCTCAAAACATTGTAGACCCCGTTTACACCTTTATTTAGAGTCGTCCACTTGTGATTGTATTGACAAAAACGCTTTTTAATACCAGGTTTAAACGGGGCCTTTAAGTTGGATGAGACCAGCTTTGGAAACTGTGCTTATTTTCGGGTCTCTTAAACAGTTTTGCCATATTTTTGAACATTTCTATTTTTATAAAATACTATATTTCAGTATAGTTTTATTTTATTTTAATTCATAAGAGAGAATAGTTATCTGACTTGTGATTATTGTGAGAAAGAGACAGTCAAAGGTGATCAGAAATTGTTTTTGGAGCAGCACACTTGAGTTTAATGCATTTTAGGTGTGTATGTTATTATTTTAAGGGGAAAAAAAGGGGGAAAATCGTATCTCTGAAGAGCTGGGATAGAGACATGCTCATGGAATTTGACAGAAGATTTATTTGGTTCTTTTTTTTATATATATATATGTTTGTTAATGTTTTCTCTCTTTTCCCGCCAACTGGAGAGTCTTAGTCACATTTAAACACCTGCTTCATTGCAGCCATTCACTTCTCAGACCAAAAGGGGCTTACTCTTTTAATTAAATGACAGTGTTTGTTTTTATTCTTGTATTTCAAGGAATAATAATCACTGACTCTGGTTTTGTCTCTCTTTTGATCAGCTGTATGATTGAGGAGTAGCTATGGCTGAAATCTCCACCCTCACCCCCTCCCCTCCCAGTATGAGTGACCAATCAGTGCCTGCTCCCTCCAGCCCACAGCCTCTCCCTTCAGAAACTCCCATCCCAAAATCTTCTCTCTACGGGGACCGAGCCGTAATGGGAAACCCAATGTTACAGGCAGGTGGAAAAAACTCTTCATCTTGGGAGCCCACACCTGGCCAAAACAATGCAGCTGCCTCTTCAACAGCAACAAAGAGTGCTGTTGAACCACCAGTAGAGGTACTAGCTGCTACAGATACAGAGTCTAATGGGAAAAGTGATTTCATTGGCCAAACAGAACGGCACACTGAAGCACAGGGCTCAGAGCAGGAACAGCAGATGCCTCTGTCGCCTGAACTTAATCCCAGTCCTAATCTGTATCCCATCGTTCAAGTCAGCCAGAATTCCAGTCCTGCTCCCCCCATGGACGTTCCTTCTCAGTTTACCCCTCCTCCCGTTCCAGTCTCCAACCCGGCCCCCTCTTCACAAGATTCCAGGCAAACAGAAGCACAAACAGCCCAACAGCCTGAGCCCATCCAAAACCCCGAACCCAACAGTCCCAGCACTGATAAGATGACCCCTGAGCCCCCCTGCACACCCTCCAGGGCCGAACCCCCAGCCGTACTGGTGCAGGAGTCTGGTGGGTCCATGTTTCTGCCCTCCACGTACAGGCGTCCAGCCCCGGACACGCTCAGCTACCTGGAGTCGGCCAGCCTGATGTCAGGAACTCTGGAGTCTCTGTCAGGGCTCGGCGAGGACGGCAGCTCGGTGGGGTCAGACTCGGAGATCAACGGTCCAGTGAGGCGTACTGATAAATATGGCTTCCTGGGAGGAGCGCAGTACAGTGAGGGAAGGTGGGTGGTTGTGAACCGAATGACACAAAAACACATTCTCATGTTATTTTTATGGTTTTCTCATAAGCACAGAGAGTAAAGACTAACCACTTCAGATTATTAGAGCATGTCACATATTTCAGCATTTAATGTGTTAAGAGTGTTTTACAATGTAAAAATTCTTCCCTTTACTGCATATTGAAACTTGCCTCTATTTGCTTTTCGACTGTCAGCTGCTTGCTTGTCAACTTAATTCTGATATTAATATAATAATATTTGAATATAATATTGCTTATTATAATTAATGTTACTACTTATATAATTATATTTAAAGTCAAATTGAAACACTTCATAAAAATGTTGCTTTCACAATCTGATGCGTTATATGTGGATTATGCTTGGCTGTCAATGTCAATCTTTGCTGTTCATCAGCTGGAAAAAATCATTCTGAAAGTGATTCCAATGATTTCATTCTTCTTTGTCATTGATATTGTTATAGTTGTGGTGTGTCCTTAGTGTGAATAGGCCTTAAGAGTTGGTATGTTTGATTCATTTTTATGAATCAGTTCAAACTGTCAGTTACAAAGAATCAATTTGAAGTCTTTGTTTTCATATACAGTATATTAAAAAATATATATTAAAATGTTTTAGTAAAATTTAAGTTGGTAAATATATAAATGATATAATAATTTTATGTAATTATAATTTAATAGTGTTAATTTAGTGCAGCACTTTGGAAAACAGGTATTAATGATTTTAAACTAACGTTAAACTGTTTTTAAGCCATTTCCGAACAAATGCATAACATATATATATATATATATATATATATATATATATATATATATTGATTATTGTCAAAGGCAGAAATATATTGATCAACCCCAGCACAACAAGTCCATGAACATACGTTAAGAAAGGATTTGATTTCATGTTGCAACTCATATATTGAATATACTTCTGTTTGGCTCTACTTGGTTTGATAAATCAGAGTAAGCATCTATAATGAATGAGATTGATAGGGTAATTGCCAGCACCTGATGTGAAGTGTGCTGCTGGGGTATTAATAATTTACGCCTACAGCCGAGAGCAGGATCAGGATGAGCATTTGGTGCGTTTTTCCTGTGTCCGTCTCTCTCGCTGCTTCTCTGTGTCCTTCGTGTGTTTGTTGTAAGTGACTCAGATTGTGCTGAGAGGGCTCGTCTGAGTCAGAGTGCACTGACTGTCTCACTTTTTGTCTCTCTCTTCCCCCGGCTGTCTCTGCTTTATCTCTAGTACTGACTAATTCAACCTAAAATAGCCACTAACACTGTCCTTTACGGTTGAACGTTTCCTTTTTTAATTCCGGCTCAGCCTAACTTATTAACCACCACATGCTTTTTCAGCTATTTAAAAATGGTCAGTGTGGGTTAGTCTTAAATTAGACTTTCTCATATGCTCAGCGTGCTGTCTGTCAGATTTAGTTCTCTGCTATTTTTCTTTACAAGTTATTGTCTTAGTCAGACACGTTCACAAGTACCTGAATTAGTGTCTAGACCAAGGCTAAACAAATCTCAAAGCCTATTTATTATAAGTCACATATTTGCTACATATTTGACAGTAAATTATTTTAAAAATATTTTTTAAATTCATTTTTAAAGGTATTAACTTCAAAATTCAATACATCTAAACAGTGTAGCAATGTTCTGAGATGTTATTTCTTGTCTGTAAGCTACTGACTTGTTCACTATGTTCACAAATTTCTACTTTAGAGACCGAGTGAAGGCTGAAGTTAAGTAAGTTGAGTCATATTTTTTTTTTACTAGATGGTTTCCTGAATAGCGTAAATATTGACTCTATGCTGCAATCTTGTGTTTGAGTATCTTGACAAGCCCCAAATAGCGTGATTTGTTCAATCAGTGGTGTGAGTTTGGGGCGGGACAATTGTTTTTTGGTCTGTCCTTATAAAACTATAATTATTTTTGCAATTCCGTTTAGTGGTTACACGCTACTACATGTTCTTACTATAGTAATTTATGCATAATTAACAGTAAATTATGCATAATTACAAGTAACTAACCCTAACCGTAACTAAAGGAAGTACATGTAGTTAATTAAGTACAATGAAACTACGTCACCTTAAAATGTAGTGTAACCCAAAAACATATTAATTTACCAATAACTCTGAAGATTTCAGGGCTTTCTAATTAGTTTTGAGAGATTCAAAAGCAGCAATTGTCTGTATATTAGATGTCTGTTCTCTCAGATTCAGAGTAAACCATTTTGACTTTGAGCCATTTGTCAAAAGCTCAACATTATCTCAGGGCTTGCGTGGATGCTTGTAGGTTTATGCGTTGTATGTGGTTTATGTATTTGTGAATCCCTCTCTGTCTTGTAGCGAGGCAGAAATCGCTGTGGCAGTGGCGAGACAGAGAGAGATGAAATGGCTGGACATGTTCAGAAACTGGGACAAATGGGTATCCCGGCGCTTTCAAAAGGTCTGTTTCTTTGACCGACATTCCCGACTGGATTAGAAAATACAGTGCTTATGAATGTTGATACATGCTGAGTTATGTTTTCTTTCTGATGCAGGTTAAAATCCGCTGCAGGAAAGGAATCCCTTCCTCTCTCAGAGCTAAAGCCTGGCAGCTGCTTTCCAACAGCCAGGAGCTCCTCGAATCCAATCCAGGAAAGTTTGAGGTATGGTCAGGTTGATACACCTACTGTTCGTATAGTCATGGCCCTAAATCAACTTCTCCCAAGTTCATATGCTATTGCTGTTATTAACTAGCCTGTATGCCAGCCCGAACCCCGCCCACAACATTTTTTGGTGGGGAAGTTTGGTCTGGACTCGATCCATTGAGGAGTAATTATGATCTGTTCAGAAATCGTCGGGCCAATCAAATTGCCAGGGCGGGCTTTATACGATGATGGACAGATGATCTGCAGTTACGTAATCATCACGTTATCAAAGAGCGCTTAGGTTGAACTGGTTTCCCTCAAAGTTGACTGCAGCTGGAGAATTGAGATGTATAGATTCCGCTATCGCGTCTGTTGTAAAAGAAATCGACAGCGCATTCATTTTAAAAGACGAACAGAGAACTGCAATCAAGGAATTTTTCGATCGGAAAGATGTGTTTGCCGTCCTTCCTACGGGATTCGGCAAAAGTTTAATTTATCAGCTGGCTCCGATGGTCACTAAGAAGATGGGACGCAATAAACCCTGTGGTCGTTGTGGTTTCTCATTTGGTCGCAGTCGCACTCATAAAGGACCAAGTAAAAGAAGCAACACTCATTATTTTACTACTTCTTCCAGCGTGCGTGCAGTTGAGTTCTGTTTACAACTATGCGTAGCTCAACATACGTCACTTACTGCGTTGCTCTGATTGGTTGTAGGTCTATCCAATTGAGTGCAGAGTTTTTTTTTTTCCTGGTTCGGTTAAGACACGCCTCATAATCAAAGCCCTATGGAGCAGTATCAGACTCACATTCTGACTAGAATATGAGTATGACGAAGTCAGGCTAGTTGTTAACTATTTAGGTTTTACTATCAAGGGGCTCCTGACTAAAATTAAACAATTAAAAGACAGACACATCAGATAATATATGATGTTTTTACTGTATTACACCATTAATTGCATCTGCTAATCATATTGCATATTTTGTTCCAGTTCACATTTGACAGTTAAGCTGTGACCACTAACAACAAGTGTTAAACGGGCAAGAAAAATGGCCACAAAACACAACCATTTAGTTGCAATTTGGAACCCTTTCTTTCCTTTTTAATGTTCTTATACTAGCAGTCATGTATATCTTAGTTTAGATGATCAAAACACTTGTTTTTAATGTACAAACTTTTTTATTATAGACATATTTGTACACTTTCCTTTTTTTTGTCTCAGGAGTTGGAGCAAGAGCAGGGAGATCCAAAGTGGTTGGACATCATAGAGAAGGACTTGCACAGGCAGTTCCCGTTTCATGAGATGTTTGCTGCTCGGGGAGGACATGGGTAAATTCAGATGAGGGTTTTATCAAGAGAAAGAGTGATGTAAGGCTTTTATTTAGATTGTTACACAATCCTGGAAACTGAAGGAAGGAATTTTTTTCCTGTTGTGTTTTTGGTTTGCTTTGTGTTTTCTATTATTCTTTATTCACTGCGTAGTGCACATATTGATACCAGCACTGACCCTCTCAAGCCCAAAGTATACTTTGTTTTTTACTGTACTGTACACGTGCTGCCTGATTTTTGTAACCAATGCCACTTGAATGCGAGCCTGCAACCTTAGCCGGAAAAAGTGTAACGCCTGTGGTAGGCAGGGAAGATAACAAGAGGCCGTTTTTCTTTTTATGGATGTCAATGGAGGAGAGGTTCACTACGCTGAATAACTGCTTTTGTGAGGAAATAGCTAATCATTTGATGATTTGTCAGCCTATCAGCTAATCTTCAACATGTTTACCCTTAAACATTTGTTTTGGATTGATCTATTTGCACCGAAAAAATGCTGTTTTATAAGAGAAGTTACGGACAATTGCTCAACAGGTATGATTCAGTTTACTGCACTTTTCATTTAATTCTATGGGATCTGCAAACAGTGATTGACTGTCGCATAACTCACTAAATTACGAAATTCAGTGACGTCAAGACTGTAATGTGACTGGTTATCAAGGCATACGTGATCCAAGTTTGCCGTTACGCATTTGCCAATGGTAGAGCCATTGACCCTCATATCTCCCAATAATAAGAACATTGCTGCGTCCGAATTCGAATACTTCCCTACTATATAGCATGCGACAGTACAGCAACAGAGTAGTATGCCCGAATTCATAGTATTAAAAAAAAAAAAGGTGAAAAGTACCCGGATGACATTGCTTCTTGCAAGATTCTAAAGTGCGCATATGGACACTTTCCTTCCCCATCAGGCCACCAGAGGATTTATGAATGGAAGTGAAGCAACGCAACTGACTCTGGTAGGTCACATGACACAGTGACAACATGGCGAATGTAGTACTTTCTAGAGTGCATGTGTCTACCCCTATCAAATGGAGTATACTTTAAAAGGCTACGTGTTCAACTGTATGCATACACTAGCATTTGCATTAGAAAACAAAAACAAAGTATACTTTGGGCTTTAGTTTTATACTTCCCCACACTTTCACATCTCTCCTCTGCTCTGTTGTTTCTCAGTTCATCTATTATATGTTGGGGAATATGTCTATGCCAAGCAGATAATATCTTACCCAATTCAAACAGTACACTTTAAAAGGGGGGAAGAAAGGATTATTATTAATTTATTATATCTAATAATAAGAAGAATTGCTGATATTTATTTTTGTGATGTGAACAAAAATGATGAAATGTTTTGATTGTTTAAACTTGAATAATAATAATAATAATTAATATTATTATTAATTATTTAAAAAACAACAAGCAGAACACCATCATTTCATACAATTATTGCCCGTACCACAAAAATAAATATCAGCCATTCTTATTGTCAAAAGTTTTATGTGTGTGTGTGTGGGTTCAGGCAGCAGGACCTGTTCCGTATACTGAAGGCCTACACAATCTACCGGCCGGATGAAGGCTACTGTCAGGCCCAGGCACCAGTGGCAGCAGTGCTGCTCATGCACATGCCCGCTGAGGTAAGACAGAGTTGAACAAAGCTCAGTCTAGGTTGCTGTTCTAAGCTGATTTTCTTTAAAAAGACAGGATCAAGATAATATGACTAGATTAATATCACAGGATATAACCCTGTCACCATCTTCACTGTTATTTTCTTCTAGCAAGCCTTCTGGTGTCTTGTGCAAATCTGTGAGAAGTTTTTGCCTGGCTACTACAGCGCTGGGTTGGTGAGTAACAAAAAGAGACTCTTACTAGGACCACAGAGGAAAGTGTTTATTTCAAAACTCCTCTTTCTTCTCCTCTCCTGTCCATCAGGAGGCTATCCAGCTGGACGGAGAGATTTTTTTCTCTCTTCTGAGGAGAGTGTGTCCCATGGCTTACCGTCACCTGAAGAAATTTAAGATCGACCCCATCCTGTACATGACAGAGTGGTTTATGTGCATTTTCTCCCGTACGCTGCCTTGGTCTTGTGTCCTGCGTGTCTGGGACATGTTCTTCTGTGAAGGTTAGTCATACACATTAGTCAATTAAATCATCTTTAAATTATTTTATTTTATGACAAAGCTGAATTTCCAGCAGTCATTACTCCAGTCTTCAGAGTCACATGATCCTTCAGAAATCATTCTAATATGCTGATTTGGTGCTTAAGAAACACTTCTTATTATCAGAATAAGAGCGTATTTAAGCGTTTTTTTATGTTGTTTGTCAGGAGTGAAGATCGTGTTTCGGGTGGGTTTGGTGCTACTTAAGCAGATGCTGGGGTCTGTGGATAAGCTCCGTGAGGTGCAGGGCATGTACGAGACCATGGAGCGACTAAGGAACATCCCCCCTGAAAGCATCAAGGAGGAAGTTCTGGTGCAAGAGGTGTGTACACAAACTCACTCTTACAAGAAATCTCGCAATAGAGAAGTAGCAGTGCAGTACGCTGTGTCCTTTCTCATACTCTCTGCTCTGTTTTCAGGTGGTCTCTCTGTCTGTGACGGAGGCCCTAATCGAGAGGGAGTGCAGCATTCAGGTGCGTAAGTGGCGGGAATCTCGTGGAGAGTTGACCCACCAACCGAATCGCCGTTTGCATGGCACACGGGCCATCTTCGAGCAGAAACACCGGGCTGCTGCGATCAGCTCTGGCGGCAGCCTGTCATTTCTAGGTGCTCATATCCCTCCCCCTGGACCCTTGCGTGCGTCATCAAGCCTCCTGTCACTTCCTGGTCTTAGAAAGTCCAAGATGCCATTTCATTCACAGAATAAGAAGAGCTCCACCTCTGGCAGCTTGGGCCAGGATATCGTCCCAATGCAGCCACTTGGGGGCAGTGCCAGTGCAGTAGCCTCAAAACCTCCAGTGCCGTCTGCCTCCAATGCTGGAGCCGGTGGGCGTCCACCGGCACCCCATGGGCCCAGTCCCCTAGCTACAACATCTCCTACTACCATACCACCGGCTCCAACTGCACACGCGTCCAGTGCGCACATGCTCCAGCCGTCGCCTAAAGTTGTCTCTGAACAAATCACCCCCACCATCCCATCACCCACCGCAAACAACTCCCCATTACCCCCGTGCCCAGATACTCCAAAAACGGCAGTAGAGGAAGACGGGAAAAAGAAAAAGAAAACCAAGGAGGACAAAAGACGGGAGAAAGAGGAGGAGAAGCTAAAATCGCGGGAGAAGAAAGATAAGGACAAGAATGAGAAGGAAAGGCTGAAGAAGGAGAAGGAGAAAGCCGAGAAGGAGAAGAAAAAGGAGAAGGGGGGTAAGAAAAAAGACAAAGGGGGAGGAGGAGAGACAGAGGAGAAGAATGGAGCTACAGCGGCGAAAGATTTGGCCTAATTCTGCCCCTTCAACAAGAAGAGGACAAGGAATCGAAATGGCTGCAGACTGGTGAAAAGAGACAAAGAGGGAAAGCGAACAATCTCCTGTAACGTCCATTTCATCTCAAGTACTCACTTCACAAGGATAACTGGATCTCTGCATCTGCCCCATGCCTCTCATTTGTCTGCACAGTGCTTTCACCCAATGCTGCAACAGGAAGCAGTTCTTACTCAGCTTTTTATTCAGCGTTTTTTTTTTTTTTGAAGTTGGATACCTGATTGATTAGATCAGCTGGATAATTAGTAGTCAATTCTAGTGTACTGGGTGCCATGGTGTACATACAGTAGACCTCTAGCGCCGTCTGTGCCAGTCCAACCCCACAATCCCCTTCTGTCCGTCACCCGAGAGGTGTCTCAACCAGAATACCCGAATAAAACATTTCTGCAGCGTGAAAAGCGCGGCACTGTCTAGTAATAAGTTATGTTTTTAGTGTTCTGGAGGACCTATTTATTCATCGTACTGTTGCTTGTTAGTGTGTGTTCTTGTATGTCTGTGCCTTGGCAGTGTAGTGAATTGTCAGTCTCGTGCAGCACACGGGTCTTGTCTTTCTTTTCTGTTTTCAGTCTCCTTTCAAAAGAGCTTTTCTTTCCTGTTGTGCTCTGGTAGGAGGAATTAATAAGTGTTGGGGGGAGTGGAAGAGCAAAATTGAACTGAGGGAATGTGTTCTCTTTCAAAACTGTGGAAAAAGCCACTTTTAACTATCCATTTAACAAAAGTTTGAATATCCGAATTAACATAATTAATAAGGAAATCAAAACTGAGCGGAGATGCATAAGTACACTCAACCAAGAACAAAGACTGCAAACTCGTTAGATCTCAATCCATCATTATGTCAGCCTCACCAAATATTTCCTCTTGCCGCAGATGAGCTTATTTATTTCTTTGTTTCTCTTTTCGAACAAATTGCATCACATAAACTGCAGTAAAGGCTAAAAATTCTGCCAAGCATGTAGTTCACTCCAGATATCTGTGTGGTTTGATGTTAATTATCTTGATGTTGATATGGATGTAGAGTTCAGACTCCGATTTTAATAAATGTATGCACTGAGGACTGTTGATTTTCAGCACTAACCTTGATGGGTTCATTAATATAGGGCACTCTCTAATCCAGTTCACATGACTCCTTTAGTCCGCGCCTTGTTGGATGGGAAGGTTTTGGTGCAGCATTGTAGCATTAACCTTTGACCTTTGAAGTTCTCGGCCTCAGGCTGTAATGTTTTGATGTGTATAAACTTAATTTAATCGGATGAAACCATGTAATATGTATTACAGCTATTATTAGTCTTATTTTGGATTAGATTTTTTATTTTTCTATGCAAGTAAATGGAGGCCTGGTAGACTGGAATGGCAGTGAGCTTTGCTTTAGGAGAGTGTTGTATTTAATCAAAGGATTTATTTTTTTCTTTTATTTTCAGGCGCTGAAAATGATTTTTGCACATTTTTCTCCCAACATCCTGGAGAACAAAACCAAGCAGTTATTATTTATTTTAAACGTTTTATAATCACTAGTGTGTCTAATTTTACTGCAGTATTTGTTTCATGAGAGATGATTTCATACTGATGATTATTTTGTTCTGATCTTTTTTATTATTATTATTATTATATGTCCCATTGAAGGGGGAAATGATCCCAAAGAGTTGTGAAAGAAAAGGAATGGATCAATAAAATGTGTGTGAGGCATTTCTGTGGTAATTAAATGTTAAATATTGTCCTTAACAAAACGTTAACTCGAAAAGTGTTACTCTTGATGAACACTGGCGAACTGAACTCCACCATAATCCACTGACCCCTCAGTATAATGAATTATTCGGATACATTCACTAGGTGATTGGACCATACTTATGCTTTTAGGACTCCTACTCAGTATATAATGTTTTCTGTCAAGACAGAAGAAACCTGAAGTGATTTCTGGTTTGCAATATGGTAGCCAATACTCTGTCAATGGTTTAATGGTGTCTCCTGTGTCTACTGGACTCGTTGCATCGTTCAGTTCCAACTGCAGGGGATCAAACCTCCTCCTCACTTATCAGTGGTGCCCTTACTGACCTCATTGGTCATTGCTTCCTCTAAAGGCACTGCTGTTCAAATGAAAAGCAAGCAAATTATGTCTATGCAAACTTTGTTCCTAACTGTTTGCACAATGTAGATGTTGACATTTATGTTGTGGCCACCAGGGGCCTCAGCCTACCTTCACTGTTGACACGAGCACTGGATCTGCTGAAGGTGTAGTGGAGTGGGATGTCTATGGCCTGTTACTTTCAGATAACCTGGCTGATCTAGATTAAGGTGTTTAATTATTCTTAATAATTGCTCTAAGTTCTAAGCACTGGCATAAACCTGGTTTTGTACCTGTCAGGCCATCTTCACTAACACCATCCTGTCTGTATTGCCAAGCAAGGGTACGACCGGTGGACTTAAAATGGTTCAGACGCTGTGCTCACCAATAATTAATGAAAGGCCACCCAGTGTTGGTTTACTAACACTCTGAGACAGCTGGGACTGGGTGTAAAGTAGTTTGACTTGTCTTATGGATTTCTGCATTGGTAAATTCGACCCAGTGTATGTTATAGAATTGTTGTAAAATTAATTTTAATCATTTTCATTTTAGTGTTTGTTTAGGTTAGTACTCTCATTCTGTCCTTTGTATGTCTCATACTTGTTTTTAAGTTTACATGAAACCATTTACAGTTGAGAATGAAATAAATTCATAGATGAAGACAGCTGTTCTAAAACTGCAGAAGAGGAAGTTCACATTGTATTTAATATTTACAGGTGTGATGAATAATAAATCATAATATATTAAAATTTCCCTCGAGTGTTTTTTTTCTATTTATGTTATGAGTTATTTTAAGTGTCATTTATTTTGTTACGTTTACGTGATTTATTTTACATCACGTGGTTCGGGAGACGGCTACAAAGGATTTATTTTTTCAATTGAGGGTGTTGCGGTGGCTGTTTAATCGAAAATCTCAGTTTATTCAATGAGAAATCTATTGCAATTTGTTAACCTTATGTGGGAATGTACATAAAGTAGCCTACTTTTACTCATATCGCACTTGACTCCAGAAGCGCGTGCACAGTGACTTGTAGGGATGGCGCGAATTTTTGAGGTAAGGCATTTTTACCTCTTGATACATTTTGTTTTTTACTTTTCCCAAAGTTACTGATAATCTGTCATAATTTTCTCACCCTTATGTCGTTCAATTTTTTTTCCCTCTTTTTCTGTGGAAGGAAGAATGTCGATGAAAGTGTTTGTTTCGGTCAAATAAGTGTAAGAAAGATAGATTCCAAAAATAATCAATTGCAAAGATTTATCATTCTGAAAGAAAAATCGCCATGAATCTATTTAGGCATATCTATAGTAAACGAGTGGAAAGTGTGGGCTACACTGAAAAAGAAGAGTCTTGTTGATTTTTTTTTTTTTTTTACTAGTGCTACAAGCATTGATTTGAAATTCCAAGAAATAAACAATGTTTTTAATGCTTTTTTGAAACACACATGGTTCTCCACTTCCCAGGTTTTTTTTTTTTTTTTTAAGTTGTGCTCACTGCAGAGCCAAATGACGCACAGCTCCACCTCTTTGGATATCATGGGTTGAGTTATGGGTAAGGTTAGGGTGTGGTTGGATATTCTAGTCCCACCTATTACACCCAAATTACATTCAGAGAGGTGGAGCTGGACTTCACACTCCACCCATAGCTTTGCAGTGGCTCACATTTTCACATGTGAGTTCCAAATGAAATATAGTAGCACAAGATGAAATGGAATGTTTCTAAAGCTTTTTAATGTTTTTTGAAATCCTAAGACATTTTCACTGCATTTCAGATAGTGAAAATACATTTGAATGTGTGTGAAGTTTCCCAAAAATAATTTACCATAATAGGACAGTCAGTTATAAAAAGCCACCCTAAAAAAGATCAAAGGTCAGATGTTGAAACCAAATTTTGAAAAATAATTTTAGTCTTAAATATATGTAAAATATAAAGTCATATATTTTTTTCTAGCTGTGGTTTCATAATTAGTCCAATATAGGGTTAAAATATACAGAGTTTTAGAAAAATATCATCATATTTTGAAGTAAAGCTTTTTATGAGAAGGCTACTTTCTACTACCTTTATAAACTGTGGTCACGATGAGATTAGGTGAACAAGTTAATTCGGTCTTTCTTTAATAGTAAAACAAAGAATCGAAAACAGTGAGGAATTGAACAGCCCTATTGCCCTACTGCCTGTGCATTGTCCCGCTTTTTACACTCATAACAAATAAGTAAATATGCTCAGAGAGAATGCAAAAGAAAATCTCTATTGTTGAACTGTTCCATATATGCATCACATCAACGTTTAGTTTTGTTATGGATTAAATGTTAAATTGGACATTCACAGTTTTAAACCAAAGCAAGTGCTTTTCAGCAAGAAGCGTTTTTCTGCTTTTTGCTCTTTTAATAGTTAGAAAACAGGCAATTAATGCTTAAAACAATTAAAACCTTTCAATTTATGTGGAGGCGAATGTGACGAATGTGTGTGTTATCATTGCCATTGTAGGACTATCATTATCCAGCAGGTAGCGCTGGTCACCTTTTGCTGGTCACCCTTGTGATTTACTGCATCATTATCCTGCAGTCTTATGCAGCCTTCCCTTCCCTATCTCACAGTATCATCTTTATGCTCTGTAATTACACCTAAAACAGACTTGTCTAGTTTCTTCCCACCTATCACACACAGCCAGCAGACATAGCAGTACAAAAAGATGTTTTATTCACAGTTTGTGTCTTTTATTGGTTACAGAAGAGTTTCTGACAGAGCAAAGCAGGCCCAGATGCAGAAAGCAAAAGGGTAGATAAAAAAAAAAAACATGGACAGAGAAATAGTGAAGAGGAGGGGAGAGGGGGAGTGAAGAGGATATGTTTTCTTTCAGTCCCCCCTCTCCTCTCTTCCTTGGATGGTCTGTCTCTCTTACTCCCTCCGTGATAAGCTTGGCATCGCTTTTAGGAGGCCCAACTCTCTCGGTACAAAACCCTCATTTTCTCTTTCTTTTTTAGTCAACCATCAGGGGAAGAAACGAGAATGATGATTGGTTCCTCTATTATAGAGCGAGATCACTCCATCTTGCTTCTTCCACATCTATCTAGAGAGGTATTTCAGCCCAAAGCTATAGATGCCTTCATTTCAACCCTCTAGACAGCAGCATAAAATGCAACTTTCATGCATGCTTGATTGTAATGAAAGAGAGGTGGTCATGGGTAATGAGTGAGAAGCAGAGAGAAAGAGAGAGTATGTGAGAGATATAGAAATGATGTTCATTTTATTGAAAACAATCCCATGTCCCCACTTGACAGACACTGTGGTCATGAGCCTCTCCACCCTCCCAATTCAGTCTCAGCGAGACAAGTCTTTGGAGAGATGGAGAGAGTAAGTGCTTGAAAGTAACAAAGATGATAGAAAGGGAGGAAGAAACACAAAGAGAAGGAGGACAAAGAAAGGCCTGGGAGAGTAAAGCAGAGAGAGAAACACGTTCATCTCTTCATTTTCTGTCTTGTTTCCACAGCCGTTTACTCCTCCTCCTTCTCCTCTCCGTGTGTGATGACGTAGCAGATGTTCTTGTAGTCAACATTGCCAGCCACATCTGGGGGGAAGGCGGCAAACAGATTCTTCATCTAAAGGAGGAAGAACAAAGAATTTAGGATTAAACAAACATTAAAATGCTTTTAGAGATTTTAACTGATCTATGAAAATAGATTAAAGTTGCGATGAAACTGAAGTAGTGTCTGTTTTCTATATTGTGACGGATTTTCCATACATCCGAGCGAAATGGATTGTCAAAAAAGAAAAAGAATTAGGATGGGATTTGAAGTCCTGCATATGTCATCAGAGAGAATGATGTTTTGATTAAAAATGATCATTAAATTAAGTTTAAAAAGAACTTTAAAAATAAAACATACATGGATCAATAATTTACAATAAGATAACCTGCATTTAGAAAATAGGGTGAATTCTCTTTTCATGCCGACTTTAAACTTCTAAAGACGAGCAACATCTGATCTCACCTCCTCTGCAGTGAACCTGTCGCACTGAGTGGTCAGAAGCTCCTCGAGGCTGGAATGAGAGAGAAAGAGTGGCAGTCAGATATGCAATCTTTCTTTTTTTCTGGAATAAAATGTCAGTGAATATAGACTCACAATTCCTTCTTGATGGTGCCAGTGCCCTCTGGGTCCAGCACCTTGAAGGCAGACACAATGACGTCTTCGGGGTCAGCACCTTTCAGAGACACAGAGAGTGAATTATGCGAACTGAATTTACAATGATTGGAAAACCAAAGGGGAAAATGGAAAGAAAAAGGGACTTTTGCATACCCTTCAGCTTCTCTCCAAACATGGTGAGGAAAACGGTGAAGTTGATTGGGCCGCTGGCTTCCTTGATCATAGCCTCCAACTCCTCATTCTTCACGTTCAGCTGACCTATATAGAGAGATGAGGATGGTCAGCACAGATTCATGGATGTATTTACAAAGTACACAACTGACACAAATCATAAACGCACCCAATGAGGCCAACACGTCCCTAAGGTCGTCTTTGCTGATGATACCGTCCCTGTTCTGGTCAATGATTGTGAAAGCCTATGTGTGCAGGACAGAAAAAAGAACATTGTTACAGGAGTAGGTGGTGATGAAAAATGAGGCTGCTGACAGTTGCAAACCAATGACTAATGAGTCATATCAGGAAATCGTCCCCTTGCAGGCTTTCTTTCTTGTCTGACATTAGTAAAATGTCCTTCTGAATCACGTGAAACTCAAGAAGGGGCTTGAATACTTAACGGCAGCTGCTGCTTCCACCCGGCCCCCACAGAGACCCTCACTGATCCTTCTTTCCATCTGGGAGACGTGTTAAGTCAATCCCAACTGTAATGTCAGACATTCCTGAAGAGGAACTTGAGAAGGCTGTATCACTTACTAATAAACTACTCAAACCATTTCACATCCTTACTTAGCTCAATCGTACACTAGCCTGACGCTAATTCCAGTGTGCTTACATAGTCTTTTACTTAGTGTTCGAGATAATCAATCTAATTTAGATGAATCATGTTTGAGAACCATAACTAGAGACAACTACTGTTAAATATCAAATTTTCTCCAGGTTTTTATTTTGTGTGTGATTTATATGTAATTTCTGGGCCCATTTTCTGTTTTTTTTTTTCTTGCAACCACTTCAAGCGCCCTTAAACATGAACCTTATTAACAATAGGTTTTTTTTTTACTCACACTTTCCTTGAGTCCATGATAGAGGGCTGTTATTTATTACTTTTATTTATTAATCTTATTCTCTTTTATCTTGTCTAATATTCCACATACTTTTCTTTCTTTCTGTCTCTCTGGCATGCACTGTGATCTTCAGCTGCTGTCCCATTGGTATCAGAACAGTGTCTGACAGATGGGAGGGCAGTGGAGAGGAAGGCTCTGGTATTTTTTTTATATATATGAACAGTATATATAAATTAGCAGACAAGACAAGTTGTCTGTCCAGTTGCTATACTATACGAGCCTTAATATAGATACGGTTCGACCTTTCTCTTAGTAGGGGTTAAAAATATTAGCATTAAAAGGCCAGTTCTAAAGCAACCTTTGTGACAAATCACAGTGGTAATTTATTGCATTGAACTGATGTATGCTAACATTTACCCCCATCAAACTCATTCGACTTTGATAATCCACAATAAACTGAAAGCATGTAACTTCTAAAACAACATCTAGACTAATGATCTCAAAATATGATGTTTGTTAAGCACCAATGTATCTGACATGGTTAAATTAGCGTGCTTGTTGTATTGACAAGAAGATCTGAAAAAAATATTTACCTCCTTGTACTCCTGAATCTGGCTCTGCTCAAACATGGAGAAGACGTTGGAGGAACCCTCTCCTCCTCCTCCTGCCCTCCTCTTAGCCTTCTTGGGTGCCTACATATGCAAAATAAAATATATAATAATAATAAAGTTTTTAACATTTAACACAGCAGTGCATGCAAATAGAATAGATGTAGTGCTAATTTTCGACAATAATCCATATCAACATCATTTGAAAATCAGAAAAAAAGAAACTCACATAGCAGTGCCACACAAAGCTTAGAGACACCAGACTCTCATTCATAAGACATTTGAACACATTTATTGATAATAAAACTGTATGAACAGCTACATACTAATGAAACAGATTTATATGAGTGATATAGCCTACATCCAAAAAATTATCTTTGCATAAGTCGTATAAGTTTACATTGATTATTGACACTTTATTCAGTATTTTTGTAGCTTCAAGGGCATCATAGTCAGCTACTGGAAACTGTTGGATTGGATTGTGTATTGAATTCGTTCCAAAGTACCTTTACATTAGTACATTAGCATTATGCTTTCTGAAACTATGCTGAAACTTACAACTTTCTATATACAAACATATAATCTTTGTCCACTCAGTAACTTTTTAATAAATTACAAAAAACTGCATGTTATGGGAAGTGAAAGCAAAACCACTTAGTTTTGCAGCTTAAGCATTAACTTCCTGGTTCCAGTAACACTGGTTCAGAAAAAGTGCCCAATTAATCACATCCTGTTAAAGGTATTGTAAGTCCACAGTTCAATTATCCAAGAATCAGATGCTGATTCAAAACGCAAGCTCTCCTCCACGTGACCCTGCTGAGAGTGAGGCTTTATGTCCTTGGTTCCTATGTGTCCACCTAGATGGTGTGGCCAGGTAACAGCTAAGGTACTGGTTACTCACCATGCTGGGACGGTGTGAAGTCTAAGAAGCTCAAGAAGTGAAGACTGAAGCCGCGTAGTGACCTGTTCCCGCGAGCCTTATATACTGGCGAAGGCCCCTTGCTAATTATAGATCCAACCTTAAGTGTGGCTTGGGAAACAGCAGACAGAAAGAGGGAAACTATGAAAGGGGAGAGAGATGAGGTAGGGGGAAAGTGATGAAGGAACACAGGGTGGGATGCACTATCATCTTACAGTGCTTGAAATAGCTATTAGAGTCTTGGAATGGGATGAATCTGATACTAATGGCAGCAGTCTGCGTGTCACATGTAGACTAATAAGGACATGGAGACGTAAGGGACTCAGTTTGAAATGAATGAGCTGTAACCATAGACACTGAGGAGGACACAACTCCCACCACTATATTTAGATTAGCGGCAGATCAATATTGGGAGGGTGCAATAATAGATACTGATTGATTTAAATCCATAGATTTTTTGAGCCAATGATAAACTTGTGTACACGCCCCCATCTGATTTATAAGAGTTAGTTCTGGCGTCAAATCATAACCCTTCCCATCGCCTCTTTCCAAGTCAGCCCTAATTGAAAATAGGGTTTTAATGCCTTTCCTAGTATAGTGATGCCATAAGATTTGGGCCCATGTCCCCCTGCCTCACCCTGCCACATGGCCATGCCTATATTCAGCACTCTCTCTCTCCTTTGCGCTCTTTGACCTCACTTGGCCACTCTACAGTCACTTTGAGGTGCAATTTGTGGTGGCAAATGGGAAGCTGCACTGTGAATGGGCACATAATTATCTTCTTTTCTTTTAGTCTGAGATGATCAGCACAATGCAGTCCAGTGGGGTTGGTAGGGGACACATGAAGAGAAGCTTAAAGGGTTAGTTCACCCAAAAATGAAAATTCTGTCAGTAATTACTCGCCCTCATGTTGTTCCAACCCCGTAAGACTTTCGTTCATTTTCGGAACACAAATTAAGATATTTTTGATTAAATCTGAGAGCTGGCTCACTCCTCCATAGGCTTCTAAGGGATTGAAACTTGCCGGCCCAGAAAAGTTATTAAAGACATCGTTAAAATACTCCAAGTGACTACAGTGGCTCAACCTTAAGTTTATCAAGCGACGAGAATACTTTTTGTGCGCAAAAACAAAACAAAAATAACGACTTTATTCAACTATTATTTTCCTTCTCTGTGGGCCTCAAGAGAGTTCATGTAGTGTAACAGCGCAGCGCTTCTTTGTTGTACGTCACACACATCACACACATGACCGGCGTCAGCCAATAGTGAGCCTATGTGTGACGTACAACACAGAAGCGCTGCTCTGAATTAATTTTTTGGGGTGAACTATCCCTTTAAAACAGGTTCTATTGGGAAGGCGGAGGCAATGGACAGCTGAGAGTGACCAAAATAGCACAACAAACTTGTCTGCTTCTTGTGCTTGCCTTTTCTTCTCTGTTTAATCCATCAGTCATTTCCTCGACCTCTTCTGGAAGCTCCACAGTTTGTTGTGCGTTCCTTTCCTCTTTTAGATTAATTTGATATCTTGTGAGTCTGTCCTTTACTTGTGTTCCCGTATCTAGATCTTGCCTATAGATCTTTCATTGTTCTATTTCAACAATCTTTTCTAGAATAGCTCAGCTGTAATTATTTATGCAGCCTTTTTAAGAGGTGAATTTTAAGTGTTTTAAAATCAGAAAGTCATAAGTGCATTTGTATCCTTAATAAATGTTGATCTATTCGATCAAATTTATTACTATTGATTACCAATTATTTCCAATATATATATATATATATATATATATATATACTATATTGCATATATATATTCACATTAAATGATTACATATAATTATAAAATTATTATTATTAATATTATATAATATTATTAATAATGATCTTGAAAAGGAAATACATACATATACACAAATTATTAAATTTTCTGCATTTCCTGTAAATAACTGTATATATATATATATATATATATATATATATATATATATATTGTATGTGTATATTTATTGGATTGAGTAATGGGGTTTGAAGTTTAAGTTTAAGGTAACATTGATAACTAATAATTGAATCATTGATGCAGCTTAATGACTAGACAAGTTCTCAAATTAGATATGTATAGCCTATGCTATATTAACACCCCTCATATAACTATATATGGTGGAACAGCTTTCAAAGTGTGTGTGTGTGTGTGTGTGTGTGTGAGAGAGAGAGAGAGAGTGACAGGCAGGGAAAGAGGTTTCTGGGTCTGAGGATGTGTGGACCTTTATTTGAGATATTTTATGTCATATTAGAATGATTTGGGTCTTCATTTTAGGCCCGTTAATAAGTATGTTCGCTTTATGATTGATATGGTTGTACACATCTGCGATTTAGTATAGGCTAGCCTGTAGGCCACTGTGTTACTCATCTTTGTTTTGTTTATAGCCTGTCAAAGTGTACATGTCTATACGTACAGTTCGAGTTATGTGTAACGTGATCTGATATGTTTCTTCAAAGCTGTTTATCATGACAGAGATGACTGGAATCCGGATGAGGTGAAAAAGACCACACCATCGCTATAGGGGTTAGACATACCTCAGGTCTGCAATGTGCAGAGGTTATGGTTGAAATGAGGATCTTAACGTAGCATCCAACACTGAAGGCGTTGGTAATTTTGTTTCTGTTCTTAGAGCTCTAATGTATGCTACAGAATCTCCATAAATCTTCATAACCTGTTGTGATTTTATTAATCATTACACTAACCACAATATCTGCCTATATGTTTGTATTACATCTACTCACCATACTAAAATATTAATTTTCCCACATGTTGACAATTACACACACACACACACACACACACACACACATATATATATACACACACTCATATATATATATATATATATATATACATACAACCACTGATTTAAGAAAAATGTCCTTATTGCTGCTGTGAAATGTAGTGTTGAATTACACTCAAAATGTTAAAACAGAAATTTACAGAATTTATTATAATGTACATCAGAGGATTAATACTAAAAACATTGCATCAAATTAATCTGTCAACAAATTATCATTAAAATAAATATGATAACAAAATGGATCTATATTAATTTAAGACAATGTGTTGTGGATGCAGTTCATAGAAACGGAATATATAAAACGTTTATACAATAAAATACATCCAAAATTACTTATATTATATATATATATAATTTGGGGCATTATATAATAAAACATCAGTTTTTTCACGCTAAATATACAGTATTAGTACTGTTAATGAGGTGCAGTGCCCTCTGTTGCTATGAAGAGCTGTACCTCAGAAAAGATTAATGCATACAAACTGTACAGTTTATTTGTAATATTGACTGATTTGACTGTCACACCTATAAAAACTTTTACTATTAAATAATGTGTTGACTGTTCCCGATGTGTAAAATAAACTAAAAACTAAAAGAAAAAAGGCACATCTACATCCCCAGAGAATTGAGGTGATGAGAAAGAGGAAGTATAGGCCAGTATTTCAGTTTGTTTGTGAAACCTCCTGAACTGAGTAGAACATGTTTTGTAAGGCAGAACTTAACAGTCACTTATTCTTTAGAAAATCACATAAGTTCATTTACATCCTTCTGTCAAATAAAAGATGAACATTGAGTACAAATCCTGACCTATTAACATACACAACACAATTACTTTAATTTAGGCTCCCTCAGTCCATAATATAAAGAAATTAAATATTAATCATTGTTATAGAGCTCTACAACAAACATGTAATCTTAAATAAAGCAAATACTCAATCCCTTCACTAAACATGCATGACATCTGACCTCATTTGACAGTATTTGAATTGCTTTGAATGCAACATTAGTTTTTGCAGTTATGTCCGCACATAAATGCTACTTGTGGTTTGGGTCTGTTTTATGACAGTTGAAGCAAGGAACTAGGCTGAGATGGGGGCTGAGACGTATAGGCTGACCACAGAGAGGAAATGAGAAACCTTTTACCAGAAATGCCATCAAGATCAGAAGTCAGTGCTAATCTGCATACCTTCATAAAATTAAAAAGACAGCAGGATTCTTCATTAATCCATTGTTTTAGAACAGGATTTACTATTTTGATGACAACCTAAACACATGCATATGAATATGCATCTGCACAAACCAAAAGAGGTCACTCTAGCCAAGATCAATGAGGTCCTCCTCAACGTATCCCACTTCCTCACGCTTCTTCTTCAGCCAGTCAGCTCTTAGTTTCTTAATCTCATTTCCATAGTACTCATGCAGTTTACTAAATTCTTCCAAAGGATCAAAGCCCACAACTGGCCACTCCCCGTAAGATGGTGCCGGACCATTTAAGGGGGTGACGTGGGCATTTCTCTTGGGCCAGAGCTTTGGAGATCTCTTACTGGTAGTTTTTAATTGAATAGGAGGGGCATGAAGACTGTAGCTGATGGGTCTGTTCGGCATAGATGGAGGTGGTGCTGAACTAGCGCTGTAGCTTCGCCCATCTCTGGGCACTATGGAAGTCCCATGTACGAAATAGGGTTGTCCTGTATTCCAGGAAGCCATTATCTTATTCGGTGTAGAAGTCACTGCTGAGGTCTGGATGGAATCACAAAGGCCTTTGTCTCTTCTAGCTTCTGTTTTATTGAGAGCATAAACAAATATAATTTAGACAAGATGATTGCATTCAAGCTAATACAGCCACACAAAACACATACAGTATGCAAGCACATAAACACACCTTGGTAACGTCTCTCCAGGTCTCTGACAATCATAGAAAGGTAGATGTGGCTAGCGCAGAACAGAGCGCCGATCCAGCTCTCCTGGCTGTTATGATCATCAGCGGCTAGTCTATAAGTGCGGAGGCCTGGTCCGGTGAACACCAAAGAGAAACAGAACTGACCGTCCGTCTCACATGCCTGCACCATGCAGCCCTCCAGAACAATCACACCCAACAGGTTACGATCGCCTGGACGCTCCTGATAAAACAACAGATTCCCCTTCAACACAAACCAGCGGCGCAGGTAAGTGGTGTTCCTCTCTCTCTGTGGAACAGAAATGTGGTAATAGTTCAAACACAGGTAGGACGAGGAAGTCATTTCAATTACGACTTGTTTAAAGAAAAAGAAAATGATTCTAGAGTGAACAGAACAGAGAAACGCTGGATATGTGAAAATGTAATGCACAGAAGACCGATAGACTTCTTAGTGTCACTAATTAAGAAATAGGCCAATGGCATGCTTTTAATAAGTGTCTATCAAATGATAAGTGTAACAGCCTTGTTTCTCCAGTAGTACCATTTACAGATAGTGAGGTGGTTTATTTTTAGTCTGTTCAGAAATATTGGCATTTGAACAATGTTTTTATTGGAGATAATTTACAATAACTATTTCCTTATCAAATCATATAGTCCTGCTTGTCACCATCGTTTTTACTTTAACCATTTATTGTCACCCTTGGGAGCAATGTGTTTTACAGCAGTGGAGTACAAGCGCATACAAAACACCATAGTACGTTAAAAATGAATAAATATTTCAAATGTACAATAACCTAAACATGCACCTCTATTTGAATTGAGCAGGGAAATGGCACATATGGAAATTTAAATCTTTTTTTGCTAAAGGGACTCTATACAAGGATACTGAAGGTAACATCTGATTAGATGTGTCAGATATAATGTAGTTCGCTTTCCCAAGCACCCATATAGTAAAGAAATCCGACAACCTAGGCAGTTTCAATGCCAACACTTTGATACAAGTTTTACAGTTTAAAAATATTTTTTGCATTTTACTGTTTAGAGTCAGCTTTTTCAAAGTAGCATTCTAGGTTAATTTAATAATATCTGGGTAAACTGACAAATCCAGGTCCTTACCTTTTTGTAGAGGTAACCCTCCTTATCTACAGGTGAAGTGCAGGACAGGTAATGGGTTAGAATCTTCTCATGGATCTTCATTCCAACGCCACCTGGCGTTCAGCCGTGTCCTAGCGTGAGCACTGGGAGCGAGCTTTACAGTCAGCAAAAGAAATTACACCCCATGGACAAATCGAATTGGCTATCGTCATTCTTTTAAACAGAATAAGATTAAAATGAAAAATAAATAATTAGTGATTTTTTTTTTAGAAAAAGGAAACGTGCCAATCTAATCATGAGTAAGCATTAAATCATACGTGAACAACCTGTCTATCTAGTTCACGCGGAGTCAAAGCACTGCCACGTAAATATTATGTATCAATCTTAAAGCATCTATATACGCCTTGTTAAAAGATAAACACGGAAACAAACGGTGAAAAGGAATTGTGAACTGAACTGTGACACACCGCCTAAATATTTGTCAGGTGCACCAACTTACTTCTGTCAATGCCTTTCCGTTGATTTATCGAGGGTATCCATACGACCTTAGGGGAAAAACATAACTTAAGACCAAGCGCCTCAATCCTGGCAAAGACCAATATTATTATTTAAGTTTCGTGTTACCAGCGCGCACTCTCGCGCGAGTCGCGCCGGTATTCTAGTGTTGAAATATAAATAACGCGACCCACTTCCTGGTAACAAAAGCCGATGCCCTATTCTCTTTAGACTTAATAGTGAAACTGCAGTGGCATGTGCGCTTTCACGTCCACAACAAATATGAATGATGGGCAAACAATAGGGGGAAGTAAATAATTATTAATAAATAATAAAAAACAGATAGGCTAGACTGCGTATTATTGATTCATGTTTCTAATTTAGGCTCTTATTAAATATTTACTAGATAGATTATGTCAGAACTGTGCCTTTGCATAGAGGTGGCTTTTGCACACAGTCGCTGCTGTTCTGCATCTCAAATACACTTTCTATTCCTGTATTTAGTTCATAGAGACGCATCATATATTTCTCTTTCCAGAGAGAATGTTCCCACAAAGCATATGTAAGCCAAATGACCAGATTTTCGTTTGAAAATAACAGAACAATAATTGCTCGTTTGGAAACGTAAATCAGGAGGTTATTGTTGTAAAAAAAATCCAAGCATATCAAGTGATGGACGTGAGGTCACACAGAAGTGAATTAATCGCAATGGACGTCATTCAACCGGTCCTCCTGTAGGTGGCGATAGAGATTCTACCAGAATCACACGAATGACGTTGTTCCGGTTTTAGTTTTGCTTGAATGGCGCAGCGGGGAGAATAACATCCAGGTAACTATTATTCCACCGTGTGTTTTACACTTTATTTGTATTGGTTTATAGCTGACCAGTCTGTTAAGCGTGTGTCTAAGTCAAGTTAAAGTTAATTTGATAAGACTTTTGAACACGTTAGCTAACTGACACACGCTCCGAACGGACGCTCGCAGCATTAGCTTAAGTTAAGCATTGCTCCGCAGTGTTGAACATTTTAAACAATTAAATGTGATACTTGATTCAATTTAGTTTGCAATAATCCCACTGGATCACCAATCAAATGCATCCCATACATGTTTGTGTAAGGTTTTGTAGATATTAAAGAAGCAGGCCTTAAAAGTTACTTTATACACATCTCATTAGATGTAACGTTAGTTTATGTGTAGGAGCGCAATTAACGTTAAGTGTCTTCTAACAGTCAACTGGAGCAAGTTTGCTTGTCTATGAAGTGTCTTTTATTGGCTTTTAAATCTTAAACAATATGTACAGGTTTCATTAATTCAATCTGTTATGAAGTCCCAGCATCCTGTTAAGAATATAACATATTTACCGTGTATACTAGACGTGTACACACACACACACACACACACACACACAACAAAAACACAATGTTGTCTGATGTAGTGTCTTATGCCTCTTTTAGCATGTCGAAAAGGAAAGTGACCTTTGAGGATGGAGATGGAGAGATTACTTTGGAAGAAGTTGTTCCAAAGAAAAAGGTTGGCCTCATATAACTCTTTATATTTAATTATACTATGTGTCCTGTTATTTCCATGCATGTTGTTATGCCGATTAAATGGATTGTAAAGTATTGTGAATGCCCATGCTCTTTCTGCTCTATCCAATGTCTTTTTACAGATTGTTGATGTTGTAAGTGGCCCAGGATCCAGATTTAAGGAGAAACACTCATTGGACAGTGATGAGGAAGATGAAGGAGGGGATGGAGAAAATATCAGCAAATATGACATCCTTGCCAATGATGACGTGGAAGGTCTGTGAATAATTTGTTCTCATGCAGATTATCAAATAAATTAAGCGCATTGCAGAATGGTTTCTCTCCTTCCTGTTGAGCTTTGTCATGCTTCCTTTTAAATTGTTTATAAGGCTCTGTGTAATGAATGGAGCAAAAGGTTGACAAATGGCAGTATTTTGAAGCACAAGGTTCCTTGTATTTTTGTTATGGTTATAGTGTTAATTTTGTCACCTATTTTGAATGTACTCTTGTGCCAAATGTCCTTGTTAGTTTTAGTCATATTTAGTCATTCACATATCTTTTTTTGTCAGTCAAGTTTTAGTCGACTAAAAGTCTCGTCATTTTAGTCTAGTATTAGTCAAAAGAAAACTCAATATATCTTAGTCAAGTTTTAGTCAAAACATTTTAGTCTTTTTTTATTTTAATAAATCATTTCTGATAACCATTTCAGTCATTGTTTCACACACTCAAATAATGGTTAAATGTCATAATTACCTGACAAAATACACTTGTTGAATGATTTTTGTTGAATGCAACTTTGTGAGACACATTCACAAATGATGAACTTGTTCTGAAGAGTATTTTATTTTAAACCAACACAATTCAAAAGCTGCGGCCCAGCAGAGTCCGACTGACAAGGTTACAAAGGTTTTTAAAGCTGTTTTTGGATATCTCCCGTCTAATTTTTCTGTTCAGAGACTGTCACTTGACTGTACTGTAGGTCCACGGCCACTTCATCAAACGCTCTTGATGTTCTTTAATCCGAGTCGAGTGGAAGAATAGAAAGCGCTTCAAACTGATTCGCGAACCGATTTAGACAGATCTGCCAACTTATTTGATGACATCTTTGAACATAACCGACTCAAAAGAGTGATTCATTGGTGAATTGAGCATCGCTCATGCCCAGAAGCAGCAGGCTTGGAATAAACTACGCATTTAACAACATTGCATTAAAATAAAGTAACGAGAGGAACGTCGCCCAACGTAACGAAGTAAAAGTACAGTTTTTTTCTTCTTCTACCTATCATGTCGTCTCTCTCATGATGAAAAAGTAGAGACGATTGTAGACGAAAATGAAGAGAGATAATATCTTCGTTTTTATTTTATGCAAAACATTTTAGTCTCGTCTTTTTTCGTCAACAATAATGCATGTTAATTTAGTCTTAGTCAGCGTTTTTGGACATTGGTGCAGTCTCGTCATCGTCTCGTCTTAGCCATGGAAAAAAAGGTAGTTGACGAACATATTTAGTCTCGTCTCATCTGACGAAATTAACACTATATGGTTAATAGTACTTAATATTTGTCTTTCACATTCTTTTTGTTTACAGGCCAGGAAATGGCAACCATTGACTATGATGAGGGGGTACGCATCACCCCTTTTAACCTCGATGAGGAAATGCAGGAGGGTTACTTTGATTCAGAGGGAAACTATTTTGTCAACAAAGAGGAAGATATCAGGGACAACTGGCTGGACAATATTGACTGGGTACATTTTCATATTCAATACATTCAATTAATTCTGATAAATAATTGGGAATCAAAGCTTAAGCTCAAAGTTCCAATGTTTTTCTCACACAGGTTAAGATAAAAGAGCAACCTGTAAAAAAAAAGAAGAAAGGCCTTGCAGCAAAGCGTAAGAGAAGGGTTGGTGATGAAGATGAAGCAGAGGAGGAGATAAAACGAGAGGAACAGCAGAAAGACAGTGAGGAAGAGGATATAGAGGAGGAGAAAGTGCCAGCAGAAGACCCTCTGGCTACATACAGCCATTATCAACTCACAGAAGCCATCATTCAGCTGCTGCTTCCTGGAGAAACAGTGGCTGCTGCTCTGAGAAGACTTGGCGGTCTTGGAGGACAGAAGAAGAAAGGGAAGCTGAGAGGAGGAGAGGAGGAAAAGACTTTGAACAGAGACGCTGATAAACTAGACAAACTGACAGCGTTGGCAGATAGACTTGTGGGGATTGGAGATTTTGAAATTTATCAGCAGACGTATGAAAAACTGGCCTACAAGCTGAAGGGGTTGACTCAAGGAAAGGCAGCCAAAACGCTTGAGGATAAAAAAGAGGAAGAAGAAGAGCTAGACATGTTCGCTGATGAGTTTGACGATAGGCATGGTGCAGAAAAAGACGAGGATAAAGACAACAGCATAGGTCAGTGGTTGGATAAGAATGTTATTTTGTTTTGTTTTGGTGTAATTAGATAAATCTTCAATGAACCTGTATTTGTAGTAGTTATTGCAACTGTTTTGTCGCGGTCACAAATAATCCAGTCTAGTTCAGATGCAAACAAATGAACTTGATCCAACATCAGTGAAACTGTACATTTTAAACATGTTTGTAATTTTATCGTCACTCTTCATTTATGATTATTTGATTCATGGCTAATCCCTTAGTAATAGCAGTGTTTCTCTCCAGTGAGTGATGAGGTCATGTGGGAGTACAAATGGGACAATGAGGAAAACTCTGAGCTCTATGGGCCCTTCAGCAGCCAACAGATGCAGGTAAGCAAACACACCCGAACTAGCACATTTTTTTTTTACAACTATTTTTCTTTATTTCTGTTAAATTTGCTATTAAAATGTAAAAACTGTGGCAGATGCAATATTGCACTGTTTTTTAGAGCGTCTGACATTGGCTTAAAGGTTTAGGTTCACCCAAAAATGTCGTTCCAAGCCCGTAAGACCGAATTTTACGGTCATCTTCGGAACACAGTTTAAGATATTTTAGATTTAGTCCGAGAGTTTTCTGTCCCTCCATTGAACATGTATGTACGAAATACTGTCCTTGTCCAGAAAGGAAATAAAGACATCATCAAAGTAGTCCATGTGACATCAGTGGGTTAGTTAGAACGTTTTGAAGCATCGAAAATACATTTTGGTCCAAAAATAACAAAAACTACGACTTTATTCAGCATTGTATTCTCTTCCGATTCTGTTGTTGAGCCGCGTTCAGTGATGCTGATGACGTGTTATCGTGCGCCCGAGCTTCGTTTGCAGTCTGAGGGAGACGCACGCTGTAAACAAAACAATCATTTTTGCATAACTTGCATTTTTTTGCCCAGCATATTTATTTGAACCCGAATACACGGACGCACCAGATACACGTCATCAGCATCACTGAACGCGGATTGACAACAGAACCGTAAGACAATCCAATGCTGAATAAAGTCATAGTTTTTGTTATTTTTGGACCAAAATGTATTTTCGATGCTTCAAAACGTTCTAACTAACCCACTGATGTCACATGGACTACTTTGATGATGTCTTTATATCCTTTCTGGACAAGGACAGTATATCGTACATACATTTTCAATCGAGGGACAGAAAACTCTCGGACTAAATCTAAAATATCTTGAACTGTGTTTCGAAGATGAACGGAGGTCTTACGGGCTTGGAACGACATGAGGGTGAGTCATTAATGACATAATTTTTATTTTTGGGTGAACTAACCCTTTAACCAATGATGTGACCAGCAAGTAGTAGACAGGCAGAGTGTTGGCAAAAGAATTACATGACCATTGAGAAATATTCAGTATTGCCTACATTTGTTACTATGTCACACTATGATTTTGATTTATATTAAAGACAGACACTTTTTTGTGAAAGTTTAGGTATTATGAAAAAGAGTAGTGTATTATATATTGCTTTATCTTTTATTCCAGGACTGGGTGGATGAGGGCTACTTCAAGGATGGAGTATACTGCAGAAGGATTGACCAAGGAGGCGCCCCATTCTACAACTCAAAGAGAATAGACTTTGAACTTTACACATGATCTGTCCATGAGCCATGTTACTGATTTTATTTGATTTCTTCTGCCCTTCTGAGAGGGCTTCTCTGAAAAATAGTTTACTCTTCAGTAATTGTGTTTTTCTTATGTACACACATACACTAGTATGTGCACCTGTGTTTGATACATGATGTGTTTTAAAATAAAGTCTTTTCTGGCTGGATCCAACCTAATGTTCTGGTTAATATTATATAGCTATCATGACTCATGCACTTTTGTAATAGCACGTTTATTGGATTTTCAATGTCCAATTTTTTTTTTACAAGGCGCTGCTATTTTGCAACGGACGAGATTCAATATACAAACCGCGGTACATAAACCAACGAGAGCTTTTAAGTTTACATCGGAACAAAGACGACTGTTTATGGCATCGCTATTGGTTGCATTTCTCCCTCCTGAAACCTAATTGGCCAATACGTTGATGTTACACATTTTTAATTGGCCGCGATTTTAGAGTCTACCCGAGGGGCGGGACATGTTTTACTATGCAAGATTCTGATTGGCTCATTGACTGACCGGGAACACTCTCGCATCGAATGATAGGTCTGAACCGTGAAGCGCAGTGGTGAAACTCGGGCGCCGTCCGGCGTGGAAATGTCACACAAACATCGGTGTTTTCGAAACAACGCCTAAAGGAGATGTTTTCACAGCACGTTTGCCCTCAAACGATTTTAGGTTAGTGTCCAGTTTATTTACATAATTCACTCCGGTTTTTAAAGTACGAGCTGGTAAAATACTATTTTAATGCACTGTATTTGACTGGTTTATGCGTAGATAGCAGCATAGCTCAGTTAGCCGCAATATACGTCGACGACGTACACAAAAAACACACCAGTGTCTGAAAACTAATATTATTAATAAAGCCGCTGCTGAGCAACTTAACTCATGACCGTAACCAATGAGGAATTCATATAGTTATGTTTTGAGATTTTATGTGGGAATCTGTTTGACTGCAGTTATTGTAACGTTATATTTTATTCTGCTGAAGTGAATATGTCTCCGATGTGAAACTGCTGTTATTTGATCTTTTCTCGGTGCAATTGTGCTGAATGTCGAGTAGTTTAGCTGCACAGGCACATCTAAATATTACATAAAGAGAAAATATTATAATTTGTCTAATAATATTTCTAAATGCATATTAACTTTGCTCTCCGAACAAAATATTGGGGACCAAATTGTACCGAACGCTGGGGAGACTCCTAATAAACTCCCCGTTATGATGTGTAGTTTGCAAGTTAATGAATTATGTATTTATTTTTTATGAAAATGTCGCGCAAGCATTAGTAAACACGTTTACCGGACAACAGAACTGTTTAATCAAATACAGACAATATTATATTCTCACCGTACACATCATCAGTATGTGATGATAACTAACTGAGGAGTTTCTGCTTTTATCTTCATTAACGTTATATCTTTATTTATTTTTAAGTGGATGCCAATAGCTTTTCTTTTTATTGAATTGTTGCTACGCGCTTGTTGTGTTTGTTGGTTTGAGTTGATTTGTTCTTTTAGACATTACTGTGATGAAAATGAGAAAAGTGACCCTGGCCACAAGCTTAAGTCTTTTTTAAATATTTTTATTTCAGTTAGCGTTTTGGTTAACTATAATAACCCTGGTTACCATAATTATGCTAAAAGCTTTAAAAGAAACGTTTTATTCTTATTGTGACTTGTCCTTTGTTTTTATTTTAAGCTTTACTGATTAAAATGAAATATAAATGTGTACACAACACCACACACAGTGTGGATTTTAAGGAATAGTTCAAAAGTTTGTCATAATTTACTCGCCCTCATATTGTTCCAAATCTGCATGACTTTCATAAATGAAGATATTTTGAGAAATCTTTTAGTGTTTTTGTTTTTGTTGTCTGTCCTACTTGGGACTTCGGTTGAAGTGACTATTAGGCTACTGAATACAATTTATTAAAGTCGGCATGAAATCAAAATGGACAATTCTTGTTTTTGTATGGCATATTGCTATGTTTATTATTAATATACATTTAAAAAAAATTATATAAATATTTTGAATGTGCCCTCGTAATCTGTAATCAAAGTAACTTCCCCTCCCTCTTGCTATGACATCTTTTCTCTGATGACGTGTTACTGGCATGAGGGCTGGGCAACCTGTTACTCACATGACATCACAGCAATTGCAAACAACTATCCAGCGATCCAATCAATTCCCGATGGACAAATCAAGTCTTGCCCTACATTTTTTTCTTGTTTGAGAAGCTGTTTCACGTATACGTCACAACTTTTGCAACTTCCTTTTCATGCTGACTTTAAAATGTTTTAAAATTTCATACTACAAGCCTAGGTTTGTTCATCATTTTTTTTTATCATTTTGTTCATCCTTAGTGAATTCTAAAGACCATAAATTGTGTTTATGTATTGAATGAGTGCTTAATAATAACTTGATAAAAGCACCAGTGTTAACTAAAATAAGAGTGAAACTAGCTAACCAACCAGTGACATGCTTGTTCCACAGTTGTGATGATTTGGGAATAAGGTTGGCAAACAGAAAAAGTAGACTGCACCGTGGGACCAAGAAAGAGACTCAAAGATGAGGCTCAGTCATCACAACCTCAACACTTGAGCTCATCCCCATCATGCGAGAGGTGAAATAAACGTTGTGTTTGTCATCCCTCAACTTTCACATTTCTCCTTTTTCATTGCAATGTAATTAGCTGGCAGCTTCTTCCTGACGACTTCCAGACATAAGTTACAACTTAATGAATTCACACAAGCTGATACAAGTAATAGAGATGTAGTCAAGAATAGGTTGCTCACAGCATACAGTTTACAAAACCATCCGAGGCATTACTCATCATACTCATGATTTGTTACTGTTGTAAGAGTCGCTAAGGTTTCAAGGAGGTAAGACAGACACAATGGAACTGACAGTGGCACACCTTTGAGAGCCATTCAGTGAAAAACAAATCACAATGGAAGAAAAGTGTAGATAGTGAGGTGTGAAGCCAAAAGGGCCATTGTTTAGGTTTTGCACTAATGAGTCATTTAGTTCTGCCACTGTCAACGCACTGGTTCTGTGAATCGCATGACTTCAGTTATGCTTGTTCTCTACATGGTTATCTGCTTGTCATTTATGTTGTCTGTCTAAGAACCTGTAACAACTAAATTAGTTTAAAATTACGCAAAAGTAAAAAGTAAACCCAGATATGAGCAATGTAAGTTTAGTAATCTAAATTCACATTTAATTAAAGTCAGTTAATTGTCAGATGCTATTGGCTGCTGTTGTTATTGTTCATATTGTGTGCAACAGTCTGGTGGTGATGGAAGTAAAACTTCCGTTCATTTTCGCCATACTGATCAACCATGAGCTCAGAGATGTTTGCTTTTGTTTTCCCCCCAACTTTATTTGAAGAAAAATGTTTAATAGTTAAATTCTTGGTGAATAACTACACTTCCTATAGCAGCAACTCCGCTCCAGTGACTCTCTGCATGTCATGTGATTGATCAGTTACTGTAAGACAGTATCTTTACAGTGTGTTACATTCTTAATTCCTTTGTCTTTTTTATCCTAACCTCCTTTTATTTTGTTCTTGTTTTTAGACAAGCACCGGAGTTGAAGCTGAGATGGAGGAGCAATATTCAGAGTGAGTGTTACTGGGTCAGAAGGACAATATGGATCTGTAACCCTTAGCCAGCAAACATCTTTTAAATATGTCTTTTGTCTCTTTATTTTAGAGATGAAAGCCACAAACCGGCATCACCCTGTGTGATCTCACAGTTAGGAGATGGCTGCCCTGTAAAGGATCAAAGCCATGACCGGAAGCCAATGGAGAGGGATTCCCCAGAGAGCCCTTCACCAATAAAACGATGGGAGATAGGTCCGCTTCTACAGTCATTCAAATCCAAGATGGCCAGCTTCACTGAGATCGTCATGAGCCCTGTTCGGCTTTTTAAGCCCAGTGACTCTTTGTCCTCAATCGTACATCCTGAACAGCATGAACCATTAATAACTGAGTCAAATGTTGAAAATTCAACCCGGACAGAGGAGGGCGAGACAGATGAAGATAAATGTAGAAATGGATTGTTTCCAAAACGGCCTTCTTCTGAAAAACTGCAGTGCCACACTGCTCCAAAACGCCACAGAGTTGCACAGAGACTGAATTTTTGTACAATTTCAACAAGTAACAACCACAAACCAGTATTGGATCATATTCAAATGCACAACGAGGGTGCACCAAATGAAGAAAATCAGATAGACTGTCCTTCAAGCCAGTCACAACAAGCCGTCCTTCAGGATGTGACTCGTGTTGCCAGTCCTTGTAAAGCATGGAGTCCTTTCTTCTGGTCTAGACCAAATCTGTCCACAGACAAACCTTTAAATTCTGCAAGTGCCATGCATGTGTCTAGTCAAGCAAATGTTCCAGCGGATGCCGTTGTTGTTCTGCATCGGCTGTCAGGTGAGAGTCAGACCCCTAGCAGTGACACAGCCTGTGGACATAGTCGTAAGTCCTGCTTTTTAGAAGAGGGATCAAACTTGTTGAACCCAGAGTCAAACAAGAGCACAAACAAAACTTGCTTAAACAAGCCTGATCCTGGAGCCTCCTTTTTTAGCACTTCCTCTTATTTTGACTTGATAGATAAAGACACAAGCATAGGTGGTTCGTTTGGCAACAAAGAATCCTATACACGGGTGGCCACCAGGAAAAGCCCTAGAAAGATACATCTGTCATGGACGGCCGAGCCCACCTCCAGTGAATTGGCCACTTTTGTGACAGGATCAAAGCCTTTGGATGTGGGTATAAAGGAATCACAGTCTGGAAACGTTATGGAGCGGACGCACCACTCAGCTAAAGTATCAGACCCTCCAATGAGCACTACTGTTGGGGAAGTGAGGGCAAAGAGAAGCAGAGAAGCTCCTCGGTCAAAGAAAGACTTGCAGGCAAGGAAGAAATGTGACACGCCGAATGCTAAAAAAGGAAGATGTGTGAGGAATAAAAAATTAAAAGACAATGGCATCACTCTGGAAATAAACCAGGAGGATGAAACCTATATTGAGGTTAGGAAAAAGAAGAAAGGGGTTTCTATGATCCACACGCACCTAGATTTAGATCTACCCATCTGTAGTAGTAATGCAGCAGATGTTGAGATGAGAAATTCTGTAGAGACCTCAGAAGAAATGGGACAGGACAAGACGATGAGAAGTCGGTTGAGAAAAAATGTAAAACGTAGGACCTTACTGACCCCTAGCAATGAAGGTGATTCCACTGATGCAACATCCTCTCAAAACTGCACACAAAATTTCTCAATTAACAAGTGTGTGCACAGCAATGATATAAATATCATGAATGGTCAATCAGAATCTCCAGGATTTCAGCACCCTACGCAGCCACAAGAGCCTGAGCAGACCATTGAAGCTCGAAAAACAAGACGGCATCCTAAAGGTTCAGGTGATGCTTTGCAGAAGAGAAACCTTCGTCCACCCAAGCATAAGTTTGAGGACTACAGGGTGACTTCAGTGGTTGATCCAGCAGGACCAAGAAGTAAACCTTCAAAAATAACATTAGTGCACCGCCAACAGTCTATTACTGTGTCTGAGGAGCAGGTGACATCTCTTTCTGGTCTTGCATCAAGAGAAGAAATAAAGGAACGTTTGTCACCGGATTCAACAGATCCAGTGCATTTAGAAAGAAAACTAAGCAGACCCATGAAGAATGTAAAACAACCAAGAAGAAAAGATGTTTCCGTTGCAAAAAGAAAAGGAAGCAAGGATGAAGCAGAAGCCGTTCCAGTAGTGTCGTTGTCAGGTAGCGGCTCCAACCGCCTCCTGCGCAGCTACTCCTGCCCTGAAATCCCGTCCCTAGTATCCAGTGACTGTCATTTACCCTGGTCCCACACGCATGACAACAGCACTACCTCACCCAGCAGAAAGAGCTCACCCACTCAACTTCCCATCCACTATCACTCTCCGTCCAAGCGCACTCGCCGACACACTGTCTGCAGTGTGGAGATTGAGCGAGAAATTGCCCCTTTGTGTCTTCGTAAAGAGGTGTACCCTGCTAGTCGGGGTGGCCCTTTGTGCCCCTCTTCCCCTTATTCTCCTTCCACTTCTCTCACAGCCCTTGTCTCGTGTTTTTTGTCCAGTCCTTTAGCGTTCTTGTCTAAAAGCTCAAGCCAAGGGCGTAGTCATGATAGTGATGCCAGCACTGGCAGCATTTCAGCTGCCTCCAGTTTTGTTGCATCATCATCGCCCTCCTTCAGTTCCCCCTTTACCACCCACACTTCCTGTCATGCTTTAACCGGCCTCTCCTCTGTTGTCACTCCCAGCCCTGAGACACCTTCTGCCTCTGTGTCATCACTCTGCAGGTAATTTATCAGATTCCCATCCACGCTATCCGAGTATACTCGCTTTTTATTACCCATTATTATGCATGTACATTATTATGTAATGTAGCATGTTGATAATTAGTGGTGCTCCGATCATATTAAAAGTGCTATTGGCCGATAATTGCTGCTTGTGACTTAATCGGCGATCTCTCAATTTGCCGATCTCATAAACCGATCTCATGCTAACGTCGCAAAAAGACACGTGCCTGCCGTGAGAGGTATGTCATTTATGACATGCTTGCGGCGGTGCCATCTCAATCTCTGTCTGGCGTGGATAAAGTAGCAATAATGCTGATTTCATGGTGAGGTACAATTCATACATCTTTATTACTACATCTTTAATAACTCTTGACCAATCGACATTAACAGTAGCAGCTATTCAGTCGGAATACATACTCCACTCAATTCTGAACTTTTCTAGAAAGTACACCATTTGGGAAACTGTATAAGGGAAAATTAGCCTCCCAAAAACCACAATAAAATAAGCAGACATTGTAACACTGCACCAGAAAAACTTATATTATCAGTGTCCAACAAATTAAAGAGTCAGGAAATGTAAATAATTGTAAATAAAAAAACTGAATATTGCATATTTAGATATTATAATAAATTGGTGAATAAAATATAACTAATGAAATGACAATAAATATTAATAATTAACAAATCCCTGGGTTATACATCAATCTGGCATTAAACATTGTAGGCTCTTTTTCCTCAAAAGCCTATCTTTGTGTAAGCCTCTCTTTTAAAAATATTTACAATACCGTTCAAAACTTTGAAATCAATGTTTTTTTGTTTTTGAAAGAAGTCTTTCATGCTCACCAAGGCTGCATTTATTTGATCAAAAATACAGTAAGAATAGTACTATTGTGAAATATTATTACAATTTAAAATAACTGTTTTCTATTTTAATATATTATAAAATGAAATGTATTGCTCTGATGTAAAGCTGAATTTTCTGCATCATTCTTCAGAAATCATTATAATATGCTGATTTGCTGCTCAAGAAACATTTCTTGTGTTGAAAACAGATGTGATGCTTAATATTTTTGTGGAAACAGTGATACATTTATTTCTAAATTCTTTGATTAATACAAAATTTAAAAGGTTAAAAAATGAGTACAAAACATTATACAGTTAACATTATAAAAGTCTTTACTGTCACTTTTGATCAATTTAATGCATCCTTGCTGAATGTAGTAATGTATTAGTGTTCTATAAATAATGCTTCATGGTAAAAAGACTTCAAATAAGACCCCATGATCAATGATCGGTATCGGCCAATACTGCTTCCAGTGATCGGCCCCAACAATCCTGATCGGAGCACCGTTATTGATGATCTCAGACATTTTCCCCTTAAAGGAGAACTCCGGCGCAAAATGAACCTTTGGTCTAATAAAACATTGGTACCTAGTCAACCGTTCTCTGAGATTTGTTTTCATGATAATCGAATGTAAAGAGTTTTATCTCTAAAAACTGTTTAGCGTATAACGCTAGTAATGGGGGCATCTATTAAGTAAAAAGAAATCGCTAGTTTATACCACTAACAAGGCTCAAAATAGCCCCACACTAACACAGTAACATAATGAGGGTCCCTACATGCAAAACGAAGCATTGAGAACTTTGTAAGTGTACAGACCGGTTAATAAGAAGATATTTTATGAAGACAGTCCACTTCGTGCAAACAGACAGGAGCCATCTGTTTTCCAAAGTCTCGACTAATCAAATCACGAACGCCATTCATACAGTTCAGAAGTTCACTGAACTTCATACCGTTCAGCTCACTTAGCACGTCGTTCGTGGTTTGATTAGTCGAGACTGTTTTTCAAAGATGGTTCCTGTCTGTATACACGAAGTGGACTGTCTTCATAAAATATCTTCTTATTAAACGGTCTGTACACTTACAAAGTTCTCAATGCTTCGTTTTGCATGTAGGGACCCTCATTATGTTACTGTGTTAGTGTGGGGCTATTTTGAGCCTTGTTAGTGGTATAAACTAGCGATTTCTTTTTACTTAATAGATGCCCCCATTACTAGCGTTATACGCTAAACAGTTTTTAGAGATAAAACTCTTTACTTTCGATTATCATGAAAACAAATCTCAGAGAACGGTTGACTAGGTACCAATGTTTTATTAGACCAAAGGTTCATCTTGCGCCGGAGTTCTCCTTTAAGAAGCAAGACCTTTAAAAAAAATGCATGTCAGTAGTTAAAATCCAACTTTTTCTTCCCTCAAAGTTCTTTGGAGGGAGACCATGGAGTGCTTCAGATGGAGTGTGAGGAGGCAATAAATGAAGAAGAGAGATCCAACTTTGACCTTAAACTCTCTGCAGCCATCTCAGAGGAGAAAGCATTATCAGATTCTGAAATCAAGGTGTGAGTTTTGTTTTCTCTTAACTTTGGTTTTTGGTTTAAAAATGTATCATCATTCTTAATCATTTCTTCACTTTCTGTGTAAACAGACAGACATAAAGGATGGTCAAGGAGGAAAGGTGTCCTCTATTCGTATCCGTAAAAAGATTCCAAAGCCCCAGAATAATCTCACCCCAATGGGCCTTCCGAAGGTCATCAGGTGTGTATATGCATAGAGAAGGTCATGGACTTGGTCATATTTATCTTTTCTCTTTCTTCCTAGCTGAAGCTAATGTGTGTTTACATTTACCTCATCACAGCAAAGACGCATTTCTTTTTGTGTTTTACAGAATAAAGAAGAAGGATTTTAGCTTGGAGGAAATCTATACCAACAAAAACTTCAGCAAACCTCCTGATGGGTGAGACGTTTTACCAATGTGTTTTATTTTCTGGGTAGTTGAGCTTAAAGGAGAACTCCGGCGCAAAATGAACCTTTGGTCTAATTACACATTGTTACCTAGTCAACCGTTATCTGAGATTTGTTTTCATGATTATCGAATGTAAATAGTTTTATCTCTAAAAACAGTTTAGCCTATAAAGCTAGTATAACGCTAGTATATTGGGCATAGTGTAATGACAAATAAAAATCGCTTGTTAATACCACTAACAAGGCTCAAAATAGCCCCACACTAGCACGGTAGCATAATGAGGGTCCCTACCTTCAAACCGAAGCATTGAGAACTTTGTCAGTGTCCAGACAGTTTAATAAGAAGATATTTTAAACATACAGTCAACTTTGCGTATACAGGCAGAAGCCATCTTTGAAATACAGCCTTTACCAGTCGATCTACGAACGCCGATCCAAGCCTGCTGTTCGCGCTCACCTTATCACAACTTATAGCTCGTTCACATTCTCACCAGCGCACTTGGATCGGCGTTCGTAGATCGACTGGTAAAGACTGTATTTCAAAGATGGCTTCTGCCTGTATACGCGAAGTTGACTGTATGTTTAAAATATCTTCTCATTAAACTGTCTGGACACTGACAAAGTTCTCAATGCTTCGGTTTGAAGGTAGGGACCCTCATTATGCTACCGTGCTAGTGTGGGGCTATTTTGAGCCTTGTTAGTGGTATTAACAAGCGATTTTTATTTGTCATTACACTATGCCCTATATACTAGCGTTATACTAGCTTTATAGGCTAAACTGTTTTTAGAGATAAAACTATTTACATTCGATAATCATGAAAACAAATCTCAGATAACGGTTGACTAGGTAACAATGTGTAATTAGACCAAAGGTTCATTTTGCGCCGAAGTTCTCCTTTAATAACTCATTTATCCACTTAGTAGGTTCTCAAAGTTTTCTGGCCAGGCACCACATCTGATTAAATCAGACCATCCAAAAACCACCTGTATTTATCAATAATTGCACAGACCTCTTTGACTGCAACCTTAAGAACATTAACACTATGCAATTACAGTGTGTATGGCAAGAGTCCATTTCAAAACCATGAAAACTAAATATGTTTTGAAATCATTTTTATGTGAAAACACCCCTCAGACTGGTTGTATTTATTGATTTTTATTATCATTTATTTATTTGTCTACTCATTTTCAGGATTTCTAGTACTTGCAGACTCGCAGGAGGGTAGACAGAATAGCCCCATTTTAGTACCTTTTAGCTCAAAGTGTTCTTTCACTGCCAAAGAACATAGGCTAGTGCAGGTTTTCCCAAACTGTGGTTCATGAACCCCTGGAGGAACTGCACTGAAACTGTGTCTTAATGAAAAGCTGTTTAAAAAAGCTATTAAATCATAAAAACATAAAATTAAAACTATTTTAAAATACAAATAAAAACAAAAAAAAAACGTTTTCCCCCCAATATTTTAATTATTTATCTGCATGTAATTTATAACCAAGAACATGTGAATGTGTTGTTAAACTGAATAAAAACCTCAGGGGTTACTTCAAGTAAATATTTTAAATTAAAGGGGTTCAGCTGTCAAACGCAGGTTTGGGAATCCCCGGTCTAGTGCATTATTTTTTATTTTTCCATAGTTGTATTTCATATCACATTTTGACAACCACTTACTTAATGTCAATCATCTACAGCCTTAAATACGAATGGCTAAGTAAAATAATTTTATGTAGCATATTAGGACTTGAATTTACTTTGAGAGCATGCAGTTACGTTTTGAGATTTTATTCTTTCCCTTTTAACATCTGGTCAATTAAGCTACGATTGCAAACTTTTTCAGACGTTTGGAAACCATATTTGAGGTGCCTCTTAACCGGCGAGATGGCTCTCAGGCTGTCGTGGGACAAAAAAAGGTGAAGCGCTTTTTCGAATTCCCTGAACTGGGTGTTACCAGGAAGCCCAAGAAACCTCTGGTGGGTGTAATGGCGGGGGGTGGAGCCCAGAGGAAGGCAGGAGGGAACTCTGGGATCTCTAGAACCAGACGAGGTGTCGGGGGCTCTTCCAAAGTGCAGGATGGCCTTGCCTTGCATGAACTGGAGTCACTCCTTTGCTCTAAGCTTGAGGAGCTGGACACCTGGATGGCACTTCAGCAGATAGCGGGCTGAAGCAGAGGTCTTGTTTGATCTGTACCAAACAATGAGCTTTGCGTGTAGAAATTTACTGTAAATTCATTAAAGCAACAACAAAGCTGTAAAATCTGTTTTTGATCACTAGTGTACTGTAAAGATCTTACAAATACATCACATTCTTTATATATTTTGCTAGGTATTTTGTAAATTGGTCTGATAAACAAGAAACACCCTTCAAGGAGTTACTGTGCTTTGTTTTGTCCTTTTGTAAATGTTCAAAGGAAGAGCACTTGTTTACATTAATCTGTGGCATATATATATATATAATATTCCTGTTTGGCACATCTCTGTATCAAAAAGTGTTTCACAGTAAGAGTCGCCAGATCACTCATAAACAATTCCTCTCTCCGTATCTTCCACATTTAAAACATTTAAACTTCATTGGTTCAGTTGAATGCCTTATTAATACACTCTCAGTATGGCCTGTGTGTGTTTTGTTATAAAGGAGACAGCACAAAGGCTTTTATAAAGTTATAGCGGCAGCATTGAATACAGTGAGTTACCAGCAGGACAAAAGTTTGCATTGTTCAGTTTTAAATTATACTTTTTGAGCATAAAGGATTTAAAGGGTTCAATGCATTCTATGCTTTTACTCAGGTACTCTGAATATGGTCCATTCACTTAATTTACACTTTTGTTCCTCTTTGATGTAGTGACTTATAATACTGCTTATGGTGTTTGAACATGTTGAATGGTTTGTGTGTAAAATTGTTTGATATGTATAGATGTCTGGGTTCTGTATTTCTAACAGAATACAATTGAGCTGTGTTTTGTATACCCCCACCCCACCCCCCCGTTGTTTCGTATAGAACAGGTGTATTTTGACTGTTACACATTTTATTACAAATCCTGCAAGACATGCAATGTACAAAACATCAAAAGCACAACATATTGAAATAACTTATTTACAAGAACAGAAAGTTGTAACCACAATATCTCAACATTTGACTGCCATGCTCTCTGTGAGTGTCTCAATGTTTCCAATTTTCATTAAGACCCTAAATAAAAACAGCTTGTTGAAATGTAAAAGTAGTTTTGGTCAGGATTGTGTGTGTGTGTGTGTGTGTCTCTCCATCTGCTGCATGTAACAAATTCCTGAAAGTTTCTGTACCGTTTTTTTTTAACTGCATTCAAAAATGGCATTGATTTAATTGCTACTAAAAGCATACATATTTAAAATATTTAGCAAAGGTTGAGCTGTTGAATTCTGTTTTAAATACCGGTAGCAAGTTTTGGACTTTTGATCCAGACTAATGGCAAGCACCATTCTAAACCCACAATAAATTTAAATAATGACCAGTTTCTTGTTATCAGGTAAATTCTTTGGACGGTCTAGAAGATGCACAGTCCAATGTGAACTGTAAGACTCTGTTTCTACACTCTTACAGTTCATGTATCTGTAGAAAAGCTTCTGCTGTGTCAGTCCATGAAGGTTACAATATAGGACAGAAATCCAATCAGTAATGGAAAGATGAGAATTAAAACCACCCAGGCCACAATGGACCCAATTCCCCATCTACAAGCTTTTTTGGAGTATTTCTCAACCTTTTCCCGTGTTTCCTGACAATCTTCAAGTCTTTTTCTTGTCTCTCGGGCCTTGAAAAAAATGAGGAAAGAAAGTGTCAGATTTCCAGGTATTTTTTAGATACTTGCATTGTATTTCATCACTGACTACAGTTCTCAAGTTTCATGGTTTTTGCTTTGCCAACAGTATCTATGCCTTTGGCAACAGATTTCAGCCAAGCGTCTTTTTACAGAAACTTAACAATGAAATAGGATTGTCTTACAAAGTTCCAGAAAGCCATTTGAATCATTTATTTTCATTGCACATCTTGTGTGTTTTTCTACACTCTAATCTTTCTCTCAAACTGCATGGGTGGGTTACTAATATAGTTTTAAGTTCAATTTTGCATAGAGATAAGTGATGCTTATTACAATGTTGTGCTGTAATACAACGGTACATCAATGACATTTCAATAATACTGTATTATTACCTTGACAGAGTACATAAAGGACATAATTCCAAAGCAGGAAAGGCCACATATGATACTGCATATGGCTAATTTCCGGTGGTCTGGGTCCTTACAGATGTCGTGTAGACCATGATTGGTGACGCCGTGCGGGTCAGCTCTCGGCTCAGGATGTTCAAGTAAAGTTTCAACCTTCACCACTACTTGTTCGTTCGCACTCATCTCTGTTTGGAGTAACAAATTACAAAGTATAAATGTAGGGAAGTCAGCATAGAAGTAATGGCACATTACTGTATTTTGATGATTTTGTATAATATACACAGTGGCTAAGTTCTGTTAAAAGCTTACATGGGAATTAATGAGACAAGTAGTGATTTAAAACAAGATGAACAGGTTCTTGACACTGTTTTTTTAGCTTTCAGTTTTAATAATCGACGATAAATTTAAAATATATATATATATATCCAGATGCCTATATATAAAAGTCAGATAACCAGAGTGAGAGGAAGGATAAATGTATATTAGAAGAAATTAACAGGGATTTTCCAACATCCTCTCAAAGCATTTAAGTTTTTCTTTTTTCTTATTGTTGTCCATGGCACTTGAAAAACAGGTATGGACAGAGATAGTCATGGTATGACAGAAACTGGCATTGTATGATAGTATTGTAGGATAGTGATGACAGATCTCACTGCTAGTTGTGGTTATGAGCCTAACAAGGGTTATTTGGCAATCACTGTTGTTTAATATTTTGATGGTATGACAAGCCATTTTTTAACACTCTCAAAGTTTCTGAATGAACGAATGCATGGACTGAATAGCCATGAATCTAAAATCTTAGCAATGTAAAATCTGCATCCAGAAAAATTATAATCTTTGAAGAAAGCAGCAAATGAAAAGCATGCCAGTTGAAACAGTTGCTTAAACTAAAGCTCCCAGTACTTACAGACTCGCCCAGGCTTGATCTTGAGGGAAGAAGGGTCTACAATTCCTCAGGTCGACCAGAGATCCAAAGGTACTTAATAACCAACTCTGGTGTCTTTGCTTTGAAAAATATGTCTGTGACTAATACTTCTCTAATTATTATTTGAGTTTATGTAGAAGTTCTAGAGTCCTGTGACAAAACTGTCACATGTCGTTGTCACAACTTGATTCCAGATGACTTCCCATCCAAACTTCCTCTTATTGTCAGTTATACGTGTGAAATATTTAGGACAGCTTCTTTAGCTCCAGCTTAGACCTCTGATAAGGCAGGCAGTGTGAGAGAAATGCTTTGAACCAAGTACAACAGAATAAAAAAACCACACCTCCTTTTTTTTTATGTTCCCTCCCCCTTTGTCTTATTCACTCCCACACAGCTTGAAATACTACTTCCCCTCACATTCTTAAAGTCTTACGTTTATCAGTCTGTTTACCACACCTTGTTTCCCCTGTGAATCATGAGTAGCTCCTGCAGACTTTGTAACAGAGAAGCTCTGACTTCATGACACACTGTTACTCATTCTCTCTCTCACCTTTTCTTTCTCTTTCTTTTTACACAGCCTCACAAGATTCAAGTTTCTGACATGTAAGCTGAGTTCCATGTATTCTGTGTGATATCTCCTAATTGTATAAATGTTGGACAGCTGAATGATTTACAGCCTGTCATGTTTCATGATCATTCTTTGACAGATAAAGTAATGTTTCTAAACTTCTTCCTTTTGCAAAAACATCAGGCGTGTTGTTTTTTAATAGACAGGACCTGAGAGTTAGATTTTAAGTCTGCATATTTCAGATGCCATTTTCAAGACCAGGCATGCAGGTATATCACTTGATACATCAACTAATTCCATGGTATGTATATGAAGGAATTATATGAAGACGTCATTCGAATATGAAGTTACTCATCTCACTTTAGTTTTTTTCCCCCTAGAATCTGGAAAAAGCCTTGCTCAACCTTACTGACTCCAATGCCCCCTATTGTCCATTCAATCTGTGGTTGCCCTGCACGCTCAATAAACAAATTATAGCTGGTCCAAAACGCAGCAGCTCGAGTTCTTACCAGAACCAGGAAGTATGACCATAGTCCGGTTCTGTCAACACTGCATTGGCTCCCTATTAAACATTGTATACATTTTAAAATATTGCTGATTACTTACAAAGCACTAAATGGTTTAGCTCCGCAGTACTTGAGCGAGCTCTTAACGCATTTCACGTCCTTCACGTCTATTGCGATCTCAAAATTCCGGCCAGTTGATAATACCTAGAATATCAAAATCGACTGCAGGTGGTAGATCCTTTTCCTATTTAGCACCAAAACTTTGGAACTAACATTTTCCGGGAAGCAGACACACTCTGTCAGTTCAAATCTAGACTAAAAACATATCTCTTTGACCTAGCATACACATAACACATTATAGACTTCTATAATTCAATGTTAGGCTGCATAGATTAGGTCAGCCGGAACGCAGTCCTGAAGTGTCACTAGTCCCTCCCTGTGAAGGCCTCCCTCCCTTTACCTCTGTACAGATAAAGCGTTGTCGGGATAGTTCCGGTTCGCATGGCTACGACAAAGCGATAAAAATTCTGTATTATAAATTTTAAGGCCAGACAAGTAGTTTATTGAGGGTTGGTTTTTTAGGGAAGGACTACATGCCTGTGCACATATATTCAAACGCGCATACCTGTGGAGTGGCCTCTTAGTACCTGTGTGCGCGCCATCTGCGTTCTCACGGGTTCGCGTTTTTGAAGTTTGCGTGGAAGTTTTCTGTTAAAACAGTGTCGTGTTAGCGGCCCCTAAGTTAATAACTGATGATCGTTGCAACGGAGGTGAATCGATCATAGCTGACTTTAGCTGGAGGTTAACTTTATTCTGGAGCTGCTGTACAGCCAAAACAATCTCTGTTACTTTAATTTCCTATTATCACTGTAAAGCCGCTTTGGAACAATCCTTTGTTAAAAGCGCTATATAAATGAAGATGACTTGACTTGACAATGATCCTATGACTTTTCCAGCTGTTTGTGCTTTCCTTAAAGATTTGTGTACAAATATTTTTACCTGATAAAACATTTTAGAGCTTGGCATATCTAGAAACATGTACACTACCGTTCAAAAGTTTTATATTTTTTTTATGTTTTTAAAAGAAGTCTCTTATGCTCACCAAGGCTGCTATTGGATGCAAAATACAGCAAAAACTGTAATATTGTGAAATATGTTTACAATTTAGAATAACTGTCTTCTATTTGAATATATTTTAAAATGTCATTTATTCCTGTGGTGGCAAAGCTGATTATCCAGTATCATTACTCCAGTATTCAGTGTCACATGATCCTTCAGAAATCATTCTAATATCATGATTTGCTGCTCAGTAAACATTTTTATTATTATTATCAATGTTGAAAACAGGATTCTGTGATTAATAGAAAGTAAAAAAAAAAAAAAAACATTTATCTGAAATAGAAAGCTGTTGTAACATTACACACTACGGTATAAAAGTTTAGGGTTGGTAAGATTTTTTTTTAAAGAAATGAAGAATTAATAGACTACTTTTATTCAGCAAGGATGCATTAAATTGATCAAAAGTGACTGTAAAGACATTAATAATGTTACAAAAGATTTCTATTTCAGATAAATGAGTGTATGTTCTTTTAAACTTTCTATTCATCAAAGAATCCTGAACAAAAATTGTACATAACTGTTTTTCAACTTTGTTAATAAGAATGTGTTTCTTGAGCATCAAATCAGCATATTAAAATTATTTCTGAAGGATCATGTGACAGTGAAGACTGGAATAATGATGCTGAAAATTCAGCTTTGACCACAGGAATAAACTACATTTTAAAATATATTCAAATAGAAAACAGTTCAATTGTAATAATATTTCACAATATTATTGTTTTTGTTGTATTTTGGATCAAATGAATGCAGCCTTGGTGAGCATAAGAGACTTATTTTAAAAACATAAAAAAATCTTACAGATTTAAAACTTTTAGTGTATATTCAAAAATGCCCAATGGAATTGTAAGATTTTATTAATTTACATGTCAAGTCACATATCCCGGGTTTTCAAGACAGTGGAATCCTGGTTGAGGGAATTAAAACAATAAAATAATTGTTAGTTCTTTTCGCATATTTTAATACTTGTTTTGACTTATTTTAAAGCCATCTGGGGTCCACTTAGAGGTTTACTGATGCCCCCTGGTTGAGAACCACTGTTTTAAAAGATTGTTTTGAACTGTAATAAAAGTTGCAGTAATAAATAGTAAAACTGCCACTTAATATGAAATATCCAAAACAGATTCTCTGATGCTTCAATATTTTTCAGTGCAAGTCTGTCAATGCTGGCCTGACCTGTTGTTCTGTAATGGTCTCTATCAAACACACACGAACAGGCTCTGTTCTGCTGTGCGTGTGAAGGTTGGCTGTTCTGGGTTGAGCTGACACACTAACAAAGAGACAGACACTGAGGTCAGACAGCTTAAAAATAAACACTCCTTATTCCCCCCCTCTTGTTTCCCTTAAGTTAATTAAAAGAAAATGAAAAAGAAAAGAAAAATCCAATCTACAGCTGCACAAATTTATACAGAACAATACATTAATTTACTAACAAAATAAAATATATTGTGTATGACATAACCATACAAATAGGGAAATTAAGTGAACAAAAACTACTACAGCATTTACAGGCAGTGCCAGTCATGAGGAAAGAATCTTCTCTCTTTTTGTATGGTCTTTTTTTGCGCCAACGTAAGATTCAACGAGCCAATCAGAAGCCGCGACATGCTCGTGACGTGGCGATACAATCTAAACACGGAAGAGTGAGACATGGTGAGGTGGGCGATTCTAAGAAATCACAACTGAATCGCAAGGAGCAATTCTTGTTATTGTATTTTAAATAGCATTTTAATCTGCTCTGCGTGCCAACATATAGAAAGCACCATTGTATTCAACCATATAACTTGTTAAATGATGTGCATGAGCTGCAATGTGTGAGACTGGTTACAGCTGAGTGTGAAAATTCAAAGTAAAAGCCTTGTTTTTTATTTCTCTTAGTTGCTCGATTGTTTCTAAATAAACTCGTGCTAACTGATGTGCAGATGCCAGAGATGGAGGACTGTGAAGGAGTGATTGCGACAGAGCGTTATGGCTCACAGGAGTCTTGGAAATACCTGTTGAAGGATAGGAGGATGAAGAGACAGAAGGAAGCAATGGACGGCAGACTTGCGGGAAATTCAATCTCTGGCGTGTTTAAAGTGCGTGACTCGTTCAGAAAAGCATGAAAGTCTTTCAGAGCCTATAAAAAAACTCTGTGAGACGTCACTAACTGATCTCTCCTCTCCCAGAGCGTTTTCCTGCCACAGGGATATCCTAAGAGTGTCAGTGAGGATTACTTACAGTATCAGCTCTGGGACACTGTGCAGGTACATGTCATATGGATCTGACACTCGTATGTCTTTTTTCCCCATTAGCCAAACATCTAATCATACAATCATTGTTCAGTATCAAATCCTTGAGTCCCTGTGGTGAAAACCAAGTATTTAATGTTGTTAATTTGTCTATGTGGTGTTTTTAATATGCTTTAAGACAAACCATGTGTGAAGTCTTCAGTCAACACCATTGCTGAGAATTTTCTCTTTAAAATTGCAGTGAAAAAAAAAACGCTGTTTGAAATCGTATGTGTTTCTTACGTCACAAACTACCTTGTAACCAATCCCCTCACGACTCACGAGGGGGGAGGGTTTTGCATATCATTAACTGCTGCGGATCCGTGAAGTCTCAAGAGATGCCAGGTTATCCTGGCATATTGTTCTGTTGATATGAAAAATCGGGTACATTGAGCAATAATAGCAGATGAAATACCTATATGATCTTTATTACGATGTTATGATGAACTATATTCCTTTCTCCACTGATGTTCTGAGTTGATCAAAGTATTTGTAAGGATGCTGATGTTTAGAAGGCAGCTGTCTGACTCTGAAATGGTGAACGGGAACATGGTTTGTGTAAAATTAGCAACACATTATTAGCTGTTTGATAACATAGTCAAGCAAAAGGCTGATCATATTAATTACCATTATGTGTCGACGTTGTAGAGAGCGATACATAAAACGCATTACCATTCTGATACATTGAAGTATACAGACGAGCCTGTATAATTCACTCTTCTCTTCACACTTCTTCTGAATCAGTTTCTGGTTCAAACATATATGGCTGAATGAAACCAGTATTTCCACTTGCCATTGTGCAGCGTTTACTAGTTAACCAAGTGGATCAGGTATTCTGAGCCGCTATAAGTGAGTGGAGGTGGGGCCAATTTGCATATTCATAGATCTGGGTATACTTAATGAAGCAAGGTTGTAGAGTTACATTCAAGCTACTTGAAGGCATGACTAAAAAACTTTCACAGGAAAAAAAAAACGTTTAAATGTGTAATTTTGGTGATCAAAGATGAGTTTCAAGGGATAAAATTATTGACTACAGGGGGACTTTAACATTTGGCATGTACATAAAAAATCCCTCAGAAATTGTATTTATTGCACATTTGGACGCAAATACATATCCGTGTTTTTTCTTTAAAATATTGCTTTTATTTTATTTAAAGGATAGCAACATTTACCTTGATGTAGCTGTCTCACAGCATGCTATTCTGATGATGCCACTTGACATGAATGTTTATATAAAATATATTCACACACACTAGCATCATAGCACTGTCTTTTGTTTTCCAAGGCATTTTCCAGCTCTCTGTCTGGTACACTCGCTACTCAGGCTTCACTGAGGGGTGTTGGGGTTGGAAATCAAGAAGCAACGGTTGCAGCAGCTACAATAACATGGCTGCTTAGGGGTATGTGCATGAAGTACTGATGTTTATTTCTCGAATGCTTACTTTTCTGACCATTTTCTCTCTCATTGTTCAGATGGAACAGGGATGCTGGGAAGAATACTTTTTGCCTGGCTCAAAGGGTAATATTTCGCCAGACATTTCAGATTGTGAATATGTTTTGTTTTATAGTATTTAATTGTTACCCTGTGTTTCAGGAACAAGTTAGATTCTGAAGCCAAAAAATGGAGGTACAATATACTAAGGACTTTAGTTTTAGTTTTACTAAGTTTTAGTTTGAATAACCATTTTATTGTAATACTTTTCTTAAACGTTTTCAACGTTTGTCTTTTCAGGCTCTTCGCTGACATTCTTAATGACGTGGCAATGTTCATGGAGATTGCAGCCCCTCATTTCCCTCCTTTTTTTATTCTAATCATCTGCATTGCTGGAATATTTAAGGTAAAATATTAACAACATCTTGCTCTAAATGTTAACATGACTGTGCCTAAATCATCATTTGATAATGAATATCTATGGTTATTCTTCTATTCCTGTCATTCCAGTCCATTGTAGGAGTTGCTGGTGGAGCAACAAGAGCTGCATTAACTGTCCATCAAGCTCGGAGAAACAACATGGCTGATATCTCTGCTAAAGATGGGAGCCAGGTTATTACTCAATTTCTCTCATTTGCTAAATAATTATTTGCTCATTTCTTTCTTGATTTTCCCAGCAAATTTCCCTCTTAGTGTGTGAAATTGATGTCATTATGTGTGTCAGTGGTGTCATGTATCAGTGTATCATTTCTCTGCCTTTCTTTCCCAATAAGGAAACCCTGGTGAACCTGGCAGGACTGCTAGTCAGCCTGGTGCTCATCCCACTTGTAACAGATAACCCATTGTGAGTAACACCCCGATATGTAAGCCACGCTGTAAATGAAGTGTGTGACAGATACTGTACTGATTTGTGCTCATTCATGCAGGTTGACATTCATCCTGTTCTTCCTGTTCACTGTTCTCCACCTGTTTGCCAATTACAAAGCTGTTCGTTCGGTTGTTATGGAAACCCTTAACGAGGCTCGCTTGTCCATAGTCCTCCATCGGTACCTGCTGAATGGTCAAGTGCTCAGTCCACTGGAGGCCAATCAGAGGGAGCCTGTGTTCTTGTGTATGGCCTTAAAACCTAATCACCTTTTCTTGTTCATTTAAGGATTAAAATGATTTGGGTCAATCATTACGCATCTAATCAACAAAATGCTCTCTCTTTTTGCAGCACTTGGAAGGACAGTTCCCATCAAGATGGGTGTGAGGCTTGGAGACATTGTTCAAGAGTGCGTTCATATGCTCTTAAACCCAGTTTTATAATCATTCACTGAATTAGAAAGAATATATATTTTATTGTTGTGAAAACACTGTAAATTATGTCTTTATGACTTAAAGGCCAGGAGAACTGCAGCTGGCGTTGAAGAACAACAGCAAACCGTATCTCATTGGAATCAAAAATGGTACAAAAAACTCCCCAATTCTGCTATACAAGTAGAGGTAGACATAATAACATGGTCTAAAATTATATTAGTCAATTTATGCTTAACTGTTCCTCAGGCAAAACGATGACAGATTTATGGTTTGTGTTTTTCTTGCCAGCTACTGTCTGTGTTTGTCTGGGAAGTGATGCGTCTGTGCATGATGAAATAATGGCAGCATGTCAGGCCTTGTGTCTCCGTAATGTGCTGCACAATGATTCCTCTCTGGGTGGTGCACTCAAACAGCTCGCGAACACTAAGGGTGAGCACTTGTTCAATCGTGATCTGTTTCTGAATAGCGCTTGCTGATGGTAGCCTCTTTTCTGACACTGGGTTTTATTTTCCAGACCCATGGGAGTTAGTATCGCAGAGTCATAAGATGATTGATCAAATTTTCGACACATTTCTAAAAGGTAAAGAGTAATGCATGTTTAAAAAAAAAAAAAAAGAAACGTTTTATTTGCATTCAGAGACAAAATGTTATGGGAAATTTCTTATGAAATTCGTAATCGTCTGTTCTGCTTCTCTCTGTCAGAACTGGATCAAGCGAAGTGGCAGACAGACCGGACACTATTGGACTGGAACGAGTGGCGTGTGGAATGGAGGAAAAAGAGAAGCTGAAGCAAATTGTTATAAAAGAAATGGGTGATGTTTTTTTATTTCCACTGAAATTCACTTTGAAACATCTCTCAGTGTTTAATTATTTGCCAGAGCTCAGCTGCAGAAAAGAAAGATTATATCAGTGTCTTCGATATTATACTGTAAAAATAAAAACAATGAGAACAACAGGGTTGCAGCAGCAATTATGTATTCCTATATGGTCAACAACGAGGCCTCACCAACCCGTGGGGGAAACAAAACCACATGTAAGAAATTTCTAACAGTTATTGTAAAGGAAAAAAACCCTACGTGTTTACACTTCTGTTTGTTTGTTTTTCTTTGAAATTCTGTCTGTTCACCAAAGAATCCACAAAAATTTTGTTTTCAACATTGAAGACAATAATAAATGTTTCTTGAGCAGCAAATCATCATATTATCATCCTTTCGGAAGGATCATGAGACACTGAAGACTGGAGTAATGATGCTGAAAATTCAGCTTTGCTATTACAGAAATAAATCACATTTTTAAAAATATTCAAATAGAAAACAGTTATTTTGAATTGTAATTCAAAATTTTGACACTTCTTTCAAACAACATAAAAAAATCAAGAACAAGAATCCAGTGTTCCGCACTTTAAACGTTTTGAGTTTTACCACATATCTATTGTCCTTTGTTGTTTTTATCATTATAAATGTATCATATTTTAAATGTATCATATTTTAGCCACTGATAATGATTTGGTTTTTATTTCAATTCAGTCTGATGCAACCAGTTGGCAATGCATCATATTAACGTGGGAGAAATCAATCATATTGGTGTAATTGTCATTTTGAGAAATTAACGAATGTTGTGATCCAAAGTCAGCATTCAAAGTTATACAGTCGTGGTCAGAATTATTGGCACCCCTGGTAAATATGATCAAAGATGGCTGTAAAAATAAATCTGCATTGTTTATCCTTTTGATCTTTAATTCAAAATATTTGAAAAAATCTAACCTTTTACTGAAGTAAAATAATTTAAAGCACATTATGTAATAAATGTTTTTTCTCCAAAACACGTTGGCCACAATTATTGGTACCCCTAGAATTTTTTATGAGTAAAATATTTCTGAAGAATATTCCCATTAATATTTACTTTTTTAGTACACCAGGGTGACTAGGAACATAAAATTGTCCAGTCATGACTTCTTGTTTCACAGGAGTTTAAATATGAGGAAACACAAAGGCCAAATTCCCTCAATCATCCGTCACAAAGAGTAAAACCAAAGAATATAGTTCTGATGTGCATCAAAAGATTGTTGAGATTCGCAATAAAAAGTGGCTGTAAGAAAATAGCTAAAGAATTGAATATCCCCATTTTGACCATCAGGGCAATAATTAAGAAGTTCCAATCAACTAAAGATGTTGCGAATCTGCCAGGAAGAGGACGTGTGTCTATATTGCCTTAATGTACGGTGAGGAGGAAAGTTTGAGTGGCCAAAGACTCTTCAAGGATCATAGATGGAGAATTGCAGAGATTCTCCATCTATGGAGGGTTTCAAGAAAAATCCTCCTCGCTCATCCAAAAACAAACTCCAGAATATTCAGATCTCAGATACGACTGGAACTTCAATGGTCTAAAGAAAAGAGCTTTTTGGCAGCAAACACAATAGATGTGTTTGGTGCTAACAGGGATAAAAAGTACCCCATGCCCATGGTTAAATATACTGCTGGATCTTTAATGTTTTGTGAGCCTATTTTTTTGCTGGAGGTCCTGGACATCTTGTTCAGATACATGGTATCATGGATTCTAGCAAATACCAACAGATAGAATGCTTATAATGGGTTGTGGTTGGATCTTCCATCAGGACAACTATCCAAAACAAACATCAAATGAAGCTTCTGCCATGACCGTCCCAGTTCCCTGACCTGAACCCTATAGAAAATGAGTGAAGTGAAGAGGAGAGGCACCAACATGAACTTGTGAATCTGAAGAGATTCTGTATGGAGGAATGGTCTCTGATCTCTTGTCAGTTGTTCTCCAAACTCATCAGGCATTATAGAAGAAAACTCAGAGCTGTTATCTTTTCAAAAGGAGGTAGCAAAAAGTATTTAATAAAAATGTGCCAATAATTATGGCCAACATGTTTCGAAGAAAAGCATTTATTTCATAATGTGATTTACCCCCCACTTTCAGCCATTTTTCTTCAATGAAAGGTTGGATTTTTGTTTAATTTTTGCATATCCTTTTCCCAAAATATCAAAAGGATAAACAATGCAGATTTATTCTTACAGCAATCTTTGATTATATTTACCAGGGGTGGAAATCATTCCGACCACAACTGTATAAAGGCCCTTATCATACTGCAGCCAGCAAATATACATGCTGTGAATTTAAAGCTCACAGCGCTGCTCCAAAATGAACCTTCCTCAAGTGTCTTTTGAGATTCTCTGTTCGGTTGAATCGCCGTCCACAGAGAGAACAGTTAAATGGCCTTTCTCCTGTATGAATGCGCTCATGCTTTTTCAGATCGGCTAAACGACTGAACCTGAACTGACAGCACTTGCAAACAAAAGGTCTCTCATTTGAATGGCATACAAAGTGAGCTCCGAGGCTGGAGGGCGTCGCGAACGTCTTACCGCACACGTGGCAGCTGTGCAGAATCTCCCTGCTCTCACTCATGCAGGGGGCACTGTGAACATCCCCTGTGTGGACCGTATTCTCTACCCGTGACCTAAGAATGTGTTTAGAAGTAGAATTTAGTAATTTACAAGGTTGGTTATAGTGGACAATGCTGTCAGAAAAGGTGGAGACAGGCTGCTGGTCGTGTTCATTTGCTAGAGGAGCATCCTGCATGGGAACAACAGGCGCTTGTGTTGTCGCATTGTCTGTCTCCTCCGTGACGGAACATTCCGGAAGCTCTGATTTAGATTCCACCTTGATTTTGTTTAAACCCAATGGGGTCTCAGTGTTGCTGGTTGCTGGAGTCTCTCTGCTGCCAGATGAAGGGTTGGGGATTCTTCTCGGAGGGCTACTCTTAACCCTGGAGAGGGGTCTTTGATTCGTCAGAGAATAGTCACAGGTCCCTTGTAGAAAATTATGTTGGTTGTCTATAGTAATATCATCTAAAACTAGCTTTAAATGAACAGGATTTTCACTCAGAATCTCCTCACTCACTACTGAATCTCCTCGATGAACGAGATCTTCCTGCACATGATCTTCCCCTAAATGAGGCTCATCTCTGGGAAAAGAGACTTTCAGGACTTTATCTAAAATATAAAAGAGATTGACTGAGAATTTTTATATGACTGTAAATAGACAAGTTAATTCAGCAACTATACTATAACCTCACCTGAAGCCCCAGCCGTCCTCTCCTTGAGTTCTTTTAACTTCTGCTGGAGGTTCTGATTCTCCAGGCGTGTTCTGGCAGACTCCCTCTGATACTCTAACATAGCCTGACCCATGAGCTGCAACACCTCCTGTACAGCAGCAGTGAGGAGCTCAGCTACATTTGTGACGAGGAGATCCATCTGTGACATTTTGTTAGGACCTACTCATAGAGAAAACAAGCTAAAGGGATAGTTCTCCCAAAAACGAAAATTTGTCATCGCTTACCCACCCTCTTGTCATTCCAAACATGTATGAATTTCTTTTGTGGAATATAAAAGAAGATATGCTGACAAGTGTCTCAGTTTTTTTTGTCCACGATTGTCCAAAACCGTTTGGTGACCAACATTATTCAAATATATATTTTATGTTCAGCAGAATACATGATTGGAACGACTTGAGGGTGAGGAAATTATGACAGAATTTTCATTTTTGGGTGAACTATCCCTTTAATGAATTAAGTTTGTTTACAGGTCTGCCTCTAAACCATAACAATGAATATAATAGAATGGCAACTATGCTACATACAAATTTGGTACTGTATATAATTAATACATAAAAATTAAAATAACAAAATATCACCTACCTTTCTGTTCACAAGAGCAATGACAGACTATAACTGAAGCTTCAGACTGTCAGCGAGCTAACGTTAAACCGTGAACTAACGTCCGAAAACAAGAGGTCTTTCATGATATTTATATCTTCATACTATGTAGTTTTTTTCTACATAACGTCGAGACTGACTGTGATAACAATGACGTTTCTAGTGTCCGTGTTTTGAAAACGCTGGTTGGTGGCGTGCTACTACTTCCTTTATTACGAGCGTGCACTCACTGACTGTTTCCTGTGTGTGTTGCCAAATATTTGATATCGCGTTAACTTAACTTACCCGTTTCTATGGCTACAACCAATGAACTGTTTGAACACGTTTCTCTGGCAAATGAAGGGACCAAAATGAAGAGACCAAAAATGTGGGAACTGTCATCATTTACTCACTCTCATGTCGTTTCATACCTGTATTCTGTAGAACATAAAAATGTATGTATATATACATAGCCTATATATATATATATATATATATATATATTTATTTATTTTTTGCAGTATTTTTGCAGTTTTTGGTCCAGACAATGGCACTCAATGGTAACTAAAAATGTTTGGTTTGGCAAGGCAAATTTATTCCTATAGCACATTTCATACACAATGGTAATTCAAAGTGCTTTACATAGAAGTAATTAAAACAATCAAAAGAAATAAGAACAGTTTAGAATAAAAAGGAAATAAAATACAGTGCAAACAGTCGGACGAACAGTGGCACAGTGCTCATTCATTAAATGCACAGCTAAACAGATGTGTTTTGAGTCTGGATTTGAATGTGACTACTGAATCACACCGAGATTCCTGACTTGATTTTTAGTTGTTAGACCCCTAGCATCAAGGTATGCGTTCACCTTGAGAACTTCATCTTTGTTTCCAAACACAATGACTTCAGTTTTGTCTTTGTTTAACTGAAGAAAGTTTTGGCACATCCAACTGTTTACTTCATCAATGCATTGGCACAGGGAGTCAATGGGGCTGTAGTCGTTAGGCGATCAGGCTAAGTAGAGCTGTGTGTCGTCTGCATAGCTGTGGTAAGCAGATTCTTTGGTTCTTTCTCATTATTTGGTTCAGTGGGAGCATATACAGGTTGAACAGGAGTGGCGCAAGAATTGAGCCTTGAGGCATGTCATGGATGTCCACTCAGACTTATGGTCTCCTATACTCACATAATAACCTCTCCCTTCTAAGTATGACCTGAACCATTTTAGGACTATCCCAGAAAGCCCTACCCAGTTTTCCAGCCTGTCAAGAAGTATGTCGTGATCAACAGTGTCAAATGCAGCACTGAGGTCGAGTAGTACCAGTACTGATAATTTGCCTGAATCAGTATTTAAGCGAATATCGTTTATTTTCTCGAGTGCTTTCTCTGTGCTGTGATGCGGTCGGAAACCAGATTGAAAATTGACAAAGTATCCATTTGAACTTAAGAATTTGTTCAGCTGATTGAAGACAACTTTTTCAATGATCTTGCCAATGAAAGGACGATTTGAGATCGGTCTATAGTTGCTTAATATGGTCTTTGCAGATTGCTCTTTTTCAGGAGGGGCTTGACAACTGCAGTTTTCAGGGAGTTTGGAAAATTCCCAAAGAAAAGTGAGGCATTTACCATAGGAGATCTGCTTCTAAACAGTTTAACACACTTTTGAAAAAAGATGTGGGAAGTGTGTCAAGAGCGCAAGTTGATGTTTTAAGGTGCTGTACGGTTTCTTTCAAAATTTTGCCATCAATTTCTTAGAAATTAGTAACTACTTTCTGAGGTTGTGGTCTGATCTGTCTGACCCCAACGTAACTCAAGGATCTGCTGATCACCTTTCTGATATTATTGATTTTCTTAAGTAAGTTACCAACATACTTCAAAATATCTTCTTTTGTGATTTGTGTGGGTGAGTAAATTAGAAAATTTTCTCCATTGTTTATTACCGTAATATTTATATCCAATAAACTCACAGAGCTTCATCGATTTAAACAGTGACTAAATTTATTTTGGAGGAGAGACATAGAAAATCAACTGCAACACATGCTACTGACATATCATAGTATAGTCTGTGTTAAATCCACCATGTGGAGTTTACAAGTGCATCACGGTAATTTTATGAGCTAAATTAAGCTATTCTGGCTGCTCACAAATTACACACTTGCTGCAATATATAGCCAAAACATGCTATAAACTAGGCTTCCACTTAATAGTTTTTGATGTAGACTTAAAAAAAAAAAAAAAAAAAACATGACAATGAAGGGTAAATATATCATATTTACTGCAATGTGTCTGTTCCAAAATACACGTTAGTCTCACTTGAAATAATAAAATATTATTTTTACTTGCAGTGACTTTGGCTAATGTCAAATAGGGTTGGAAATACATATCTGGTTAAGAGGAATTTAAAAAGAAACAAGAACCCAATTAGAAGAGTCAAGCTCTTCAGCTCACAAAACAATTAGTGGTAGAAACACATAAATATATAACAGTCAAATAGTCAATTCTCTAAAATAAAGAGATGCAATTTTTTATTAACTGTGACTAAAAACAACAGTAAAAACAATTGCCATTTGAGTATCAAACACTGGTACTCAACTCAAAATAAGTTAGGTGATAGGATCGATAGGATGTTTCAAAAACCTAGAATAGGACAGTTATGGTAACTCTAAATGCTAGCTGCATCATGTGACAAACACGATTCAGTTAAGATTGCAGCTTTACTTGTAACTTACTGTAACAAGAAAATGCTTTCCTATTTGTTAAGCTTTTCCTATAGTGAGCAAGACCTGCTAAACTACAGCAAACAGGGAAGAGCATGCAGATTATTGTCTTATGTTCCTTTGGGTGGGCTCCACTTCAAGGCCGTAGGGTCAATAGTCTTGCTGCTTCCACGTTTTGCCTCTTTGGTTTTCCAATCATCAATCAGATCCTAAAGATCATTCAATCATTGAGATGCATTAGAAACCACCAAATAAGATTAAAATAATAAACCTATAATTCATGTAAACAGTCTGGTACTAAAATCACTACATACATTACATTACAATTACCTGTCTTTTTAAGATCAGGTGCTTCCCTTTCCAGTACTTCAGCATCTGGAGTGACTGTAAAGTACTGACAATGTCTACAGGATTGACAGCTGTTTCTTGACTGATTTCTGCTCCCAAGAGTAAATATATGAGAAAGAAAGAAAGAAAACAATTAGAGGAAAAATCACTATTCAGTATTAAATCTTTATGATAACCATAAAAGAAAATACATTACCGTTCAAAAGTCTGGGGTCGCTAAGATTTTTTAAGTTGGCCCCCCAACCAACGCAAAACGTCGTCAAAATATGCTCAATCGTTAGTGCTGTAAAAAGCTTTGTTTGTGCTGCTTCGGTTTTTTAGATATTAAAATAATATTAATTTTTTAATATTTTACACCGTTTTTACATATTTTAAAATGTAAAATATTTACATATTTTAAACAATATTTAAACATATTTTAATATTTACATATTTTAAACAACACCGTTTTTGTGCTGTTTTGTGCTGTAAAAAGTAAATTTTGTGCTGTGTCGGGTTTTAAAATATTAATCACTGAATGTTAGGTCGATAACGTCATTCACCCAAAATATGCTCAATCGTTTGTGCTGATTTGTGCTGTTAAACGTCGCGTTTGTGCTCCTTCGGTTTTTTAGATATTAAAATATTTTTAGGTCATTCTGAGGTCACTCCGTCTGTCTGTTAATCAAATATCTCTCGAACCGTTAGTCCGATGGATTTCAAACTTGACAGGTGTCTTGCTATGGGCACGAGTAAATGCAGTGCCGAGTTTGACGTTGTTTGGATTAGAAATGCAAACGATATCGGTAAATATATCGGTAAAAGAAGCACACATTGGCTTTTGCCGCTCTAGCCGCTGGCCACTCCCCCTCTCACACTGCACACTGAGTGGCCACTCCCCCTCTCACACTGCACACTGAGTGGCCACTCCCCCTCTCACACTGCACACTGAGTGGCCATTCCCCCTCTCACACTGCGTGGCCACTCCCCTCTCACACTGCGTGGCCACTCCCCCTCTCACACTGCACACTGAGTGACCACTCCCCCTCTCACACTGCACACTGCGTGGCCACTCCCCCTCTCAACACTGCACACTGAGTGACCACTCCCCCTCTCACACCAACACACTGAGTGACCACTCCCCCTCTCAGACCAACACACTGAGTGACCACTCCCCCTCTCACACCAACACACTGAGTGACCACTCCCCCTCTCACACCAACACACTGAGTGACCACTCCCCCTCTCACACTGCACACTGAGTGACCACTCCCCCTCTCACACAACACACTGAGTGACCACTCCCCCTCTCACACTGCACACTGAGTGACCACTCCCCCTCTCACACTGCACACTGAGTGACCACTCACCCTCTCACACTGCACACTGAGTGACCACTCACCCTCTCACACTGAGTGACCACTCCCCCTCTCACACTGCACACTGAGTGACCACTCCCCCTCTCACACTGCACACTGAGTGACCACTCACCCTCTCACACTGCACACTGAGTGACCACTCACCCTCTCACACTGCACACTGAGTGACCACTCACCCTCTCACACTGCACACTGAGTGACCACTCACCCTCTCACACTGAGTGACCACTCCCCCTCTCAACACTGCACACTGAGTGACCACTCTCCCTCTCACACTGAGTGACCACTCCCCCTCTCAACACTGCACACTGAGTGACCACTCAACCTCTCACACTGCACACTGAGTGGCCACTACCCCTCTCACACTGCACACTGAGTGGCCACTCCCCCTCTCACACTGCACACTGAGTGGCCACTCCCCCTCTCAACACTGCACACTGAGTGACCACTCCCCCTCTCACACTGCACACTGATTGGCCACTCCCCCTCTCACACTGCACACTGAGTGACCACTCCCCCTCTCACACTGCACACTGAGTGGCCATTCCCCCTCTCACACTGCGTGGCCACTCCCCCTCTCACACTGCGTGGCCACTCCCCCTCTCACACTGCACACTGAGTGACCACTCCCCCTCTCACACTGCGTGGCCACTCCCCCTCTCAACACTGCACACTGAGTGACCACTCCCCCTCTCACACCAACACACTGAGTGACCACTCCCCCTCTCACACTGCACACTGAGTGACCACTCACCCTCTCACACTGCACACTGAGTGACCACTCACCCTCTCACACTGCACACTGAGTGACCACTCTCCCTCTCACACTGAGTGACCACTCCCCCTCTCACACTGCACACTGAGTGACCACTCACCCTCTCACACTGCACACTGAGTGACCACTCCCCCTCTCAACACTGCACACTGAGTGACCACTCCCCCTCTCAACACTGCACACTGAGTGACCACTCCCCCTCTCACACTGCACACTGAGTGGCCACTCCCCCTCTCACACTGCACACTGAGTGACCACTCCCCCTCTCAACACTGCACACTGAGTGACCACTCCCCCTCTCAACACTGCACACTGAGTGACCACTCCCCCTCTCACACTGCACACTGAGTGGCCACTCCCCCTCTCACACTGCACACTGAGTGACCACTCCCCCTCTCACACTGCACACTGAGTGACCACTCACCCTCTCACACTGCACACTGAGTGACCACTCACCCTCTCACACTGCACACTGAGTGACCACTCTCCCTCTCACACTGAGTGACCACTCCCCCTCTCACACTGCACACTGAGTGACCACTCACCCTCTCACACTGCACACTGAGTGGCCACTCCCCCTCTCACACTGCGTGGCCACTCCCCCTCTCACACTGCACACTGAGTGACCACTCCCCCTCTCACACTGCGTGGCCACTCCCCCTCTCAACACTGCACACTGAGTGACCACTCCCCCTCTCACACCAACACACTGAGTGACCACTCCCCCTCTCACACTGCACACTGAGTGACCACTCACCCTCTCACACTGCACACTGAGTGACCACTCTCCCTCTCACACTGAGTGACCACTCCCCCTCTCACACTGCACACTGAGTGACCACTCACCCTCTCACACTGCACACTGAGTGACCACTCCCCCTCTCAACACTGCACACTGAGTGACCACTCCCCCTCTCACACTGCACACTGAGTGGCCACTCCCCCTCTCACACTGCACACTGATTGGCCACTCCCCCTCTCACACTGCACACTGAGTGACCACTCCCCCTCTCACACTGCACACTGAGTGACCATTCCCCCTCTGACACTGCGTGGCCACTCCCCCTCTCACACTGCACACTGCGTGGCCACTCCCCCTCTCACACTGCACACTGAGTGACCACTCCCCCCTCACACTGCGTGGCCACTCCCCCTCTCACACTGCGTGGCCACTCCCCCTCTCAACACTGCACACTGAGTGACCACTCCCCTCTCACACCAACACACTGAGTGACCACTCCCCCTCTCACACTGCACACTGAGTGACCACTCCCCCTCTCACACTGCACACTGAGTGACCACTCACCCTCTCACACTGCACACTGAGTGACCACTCACCCTCTCACACTGCACACTGAGTGACCACTCTCCCTCTCACACTGAGTGACCACTCCCCCTCTCACACAGTGACCACTCCCCCTCTCACACTGCACACTGAGTGACCACTCACCCTCTCACACTGCACACTGAGTGACCACTCCCCCTCTCAACACTGCACACTGAGTGACCACTCCCCCTCTCACACTGCACACTGAGTGGCCACTCCCCCTCTCACACTGCACACTGAGTGGCCACTCCCCCTCTCAACACTGCACACTGATTGGCCACTCCCCCTCTCACACTGCACACTGAGTGACCACTCCCCCTCTCACACTGCACACTGAGTGGCCATTCCCCCTCTCACACTGCGTGGCCACTCCCCCTCTCACACTGCACACTGCGTGGCCACTCCCCCTCTCACACTGCACACTGAGTGACCACTCCCCCTCTCACACTGCACACTGCGTGGCCACTCCCCCTCTCACACTGCGTGGCCACTCCCCCTCTCAACACTGCACACTGAGTGACCACTCCCCCTCTCACACCAACAAACTGAGTGACCACTCCCCCTCTCACACTGCACACTGAGTGACCACTCCCCCTCTCACACTGCACACTGAGTGACCACTCACCCTCTCACACAGCACACTGAGTGACCACTCACCCTCACACTGCACACTGAGTGACCACTCTCCCTCTCACACTGAGTGACCACTCCCCCTCTCACACTGCACACTGAGTGACCACTCACCCTCTCACACTGCACACTGAGTGACCACTCACCCTCTCACACTGCACACTAAGTGACCACTCACCCTCTCACACTGCACACTAAGTGACCACTCCCCCTCTCCCTCTCACACTGAGTGACCACTCCCCCTCTCAACACTGCACACTGAGTGACCACTCCCCCTCTCACACTGCACACTGAGTGGCCACTCCCCCTCTCACACTGCACACTGATTGGCCACTCCCCCTCTCACACTGCGTGACCACTCCCCCTCTCACACTGCACACTGAGTGGCCATTCCCCCTCTCACACTGCGTGGCCACTCCCCCTCTCACACTGCACACTGAGTGACCACTCCTCCTCTCACACTGCACACTGCGTGGCCACTCCCCCTCACACTGCGTGGCCACTCCCCCTCTCAACACTGCACACTGAGTGACCACTCCCCCTCTCACACCAACACACTGAGTGACCACTCCCCCTCTCACACTGCACACTGAGTGACCACTCCCCCTCTCACACCAACACACTGAGTGACCACTCCCCCTCTCACACTGCACACTGAGTGGCCACTCCCCCTCTCAACACTGCACACTGAGTGACCACTCCCCCTCTCACACTGCACACTGATTGGCCACTCCCCCTCTCACACTGCACACTGAGTGACCACTCCCCCTCTCACACTGCACACTGAGTGGCCATTCCCCCTCTCACACTGCGTGGCCACTCCCCCTCTCACACTGATTGGCCACTCCCCCTCTCACACTGCACACTGAGTGACCACTCCCCCTCTCACACTGCACACTGCGTGGCCACTCCCCCTCTCACACTGCGTGGCCACTCCCCCTCTCAACACTGCACACTGAGTGACCACTCCCCCTCTCACACCAACACACTGAGTGACCA